AGTTAGGCTGTTAGCCAACGTCGCCGTCGGTATCCAACGTCGTTTCGACCCAAAAAATTATTCTCCAAACTAGTGCAGACTAGGGTTGGCACGAGGTTGTGCCGACGTTGCGCCCCGATGTTTGGTCGCGTGACACAACGTTGTCCCGACGCGACGTCCAAATGCTGCTTGGGTTACTTAGGTGCAATTCGTTATAAATTTGAAAAGCTGGCAATACAATAAGTCAATCGTTTCGATTATAAGTTCTCATACGAAAATTCCTGGACGTCTAGGTTGACGTCCTCATCAACGTGGTCATAATTCAAAAACCACTCGGTATACCTTATAGTATTAAGGTATTTTTGGAACCGGAATTTTATAGCAAATTCACTGAACTAATCAAATATAAAGCATTTTTAGTAAAAACTAAAACTTAAGTGTAAAAATACATTTGACTGACCCTGTATATGTATAAAAATATTTTTGAAAAGTGAACTACCATTAAACACGTATTTTGTAAGAGGTTTGGAGTGAAAATCTCAAACAGGAATACTGATACAGAGCTTTTTCGGAACACGGAGCCATCTTGTATGTATGCATTTGTATATTATTGCGAGAGCAATATTAAGTGAGAGCAACGAATTTAAATGGGTAAACTTTGTAATATTATATCTTATTAACAGTACAATGCAAAAATTTTTATAAAAATTCATTCACAGTAAATGAATTCCGAGGTTTGTATCGCATAAGGGCTTAAAGCTTTTTTTTTACTATTTCTTTTATAGAGATTTACGTCAAAATGTTCGAGTTGCATCTATTAGGACTATATTTGGAAGAAAACGGCATTTTTATTTGTACCGCGCCGACTTTACAAGCTGTAACTAATGTGAAATTAGTCCCGAAAAGTGCATTTTGGCCTAAAGCAGTTCAATAAAAACATTTTGAAAAGAATTTTTCCAAAAACGTTCGGCTCCAGAACCGTCTCGAATTTTATTTGAGCAATAGAGCGGTATTATGAACGCAATAAAAACATAAGCAACGGTCACCATCTTTTTTCTCGTTTGCGTGTCATAAGAATCAGTATTTTTGACCCTACAAATTGCTACTGGTTTCGACAAAAACACTTAAAAAAAACTGTTAGATTTTCATTTAAAAAAATACAGTTAAATAAAGTAGCAAAATAAGCGTTCGGCATTGTTGTTGAAGCACCTTTTTAGACAATTTCTTTATTTTTAAGATTTTGATGGTCAATCACCAACAAAATATTCCTTATGTTTGGACTAAATTTCCTCGAAAATAAAGAAATATTTTAAAATTCCGTTACAATATTAATAGACACTTAACGTCTTTCTGTTGCGCTAAAAGAAACATCCTGTATAGTTATTTACCAATTGTTACAATAAAATAACTTTTCAGTACAATTATTTATAAAATTTATTTTATCAAGTATCAATATTTCTTGTCTTTTTGGGTATAATTTTGTTATTTTGAATTTTTTAAATCGAATTAAATGACCTAGTGCCATCTAGACTTAATTATATTAACTAAACTATTTTATTTTTACAGTTTTTATTTTATTTGAGTTCACCAATATGTCAAGAAATTAAAACAAAACTTTTTAATCTTCCTAAGGTGTCCCTATTGATTTTACTAGTTCCCATTCAAGTATTAGGAGTTCCCAATTCTTAAACTGCTTTGAAAATCATTCACAATATTGTCATACAAAAATTAAGTGTTTTTAATAAAAAGAGAGTTTAAAATTATATTTAAAATAATAAAATTATGCCATGTAGATGTGAAACCTGTGCCAGTATATACGTAAGATTTAGGTTAACTTCACCATTATGTCAACAAATCAAAACAAATTAATCAAAATAAATTATTTGTTTGCCTAAATTTTACCTTCACCATTTTGTCATACAAGCAAATTATTATTTTTTTTTAAATAAAATAAATTATAATTTTGTGTTGTGTATTTTTGGTAGTATAAAGCTTTTCTTCTAGATTTTGATGGTTTAGAGTTATGTATTCATAAAAATAATCATACAAAATTAATGAAAATTTATTTTTGTTTTTGAAAAAATTCAAAATTTATTTAAAAATATACATAAATATTTTAATAAGTAAATTATTGATGCTTCTCTCTAAAAGAGTTACAAAATTGTGAAAATCGTGGAAAAATTCTGCTTGTTCTACATAGCCAAGTTGTAAAAGTGGAATTTCATACATATGTAATCCTATCATATGGTTAAAAAGAAATGTTGATCTTCATATTTATATCACTTTCTTTTGCGGAAATTTTATGCGAATTGTTTATTTACATACAGGAAGTATCCCATTTAGTGGACCACCTAAAATATAAATTTCTAGATATATTTTCCTTGATAGGAGCTATAACTTTTATTAAGAGTTATTTTAACGTTCATCAGCGACTTAAAGTAAAAAAATTGTAACTAAAATTATGTTTCAACTCTTATTGTGACGTAGTTTTTTTACACAATAAGATTTTGAATTAAAATTAATTCTTCATATTGATATTTTTTTTAAAATGTTATAGTACAAAATATAGGTATGTGTTTTAATGATTCTAAAAAATCTATACGTGCAGAAGTATAATTATGATATCCTCTGTCGTTTATTATGAATGAACAATGACGTAGCCTGTCCTAAATGTGCTCAACAATAATTTAACCCTGACCTTTTTTGACATCGATTTTTTAGTCCCAGTTGTTCTATATCGATTTTGACAGCCTTTGTTGTTTATTCATGATAAATTGTTTTAAATATTTCTGGACATTTCACAAAAAAACATATTTTATATTACAAGGGCTATTTAAAAAATACAACAAATAAAAATTCTAGTTTATAACAACGTATAGTGTGTTCCTTAAGGACATGCTTGGGGGTGATTCTTGGACCTTTTCAAAAGAAACACTTTCTAAGTATTATTTAAGAGACAACTTTTATTTTTTTTCCATAGCAATTGTTAAAATTGCCTTATATCTATCAAAAATTGTAGATAAAATAGTACTTTAACAGCGAGGATAGGTTAAAAACTTTATTTCTTCTCGCACGTTTTTTAATTGCTTCTATTTTTGAAAAATTTTGTATTCTTTTTCCTAAGTTATTCGGAATTTAAATAGAAGTAGTTTGGATATGGCGTTTGTCTCCTCAGCCTAAATACCTGTTGGTAATTTACTTATTTCGTTTTGAGCCATTTCTGGCTCCAATTCAATCAGCAGTCGACACGAAAGAGAATTAAAAAATATTGACTCAAAACCATTGCCTGGAAACTTATATGGTAAAATTTTGATAAAATAATTTAGTACTCACTAAAAACACGGTATGTCGCTAGTGGTAGGAAAAATAATTTTTAGGGGTTACTAGTTTATTTGGTTGCCTGTGATATGCATATACAGGGTGTTTCCTAATTAATCTAAAAAATAAAAAATCGTTAGAAAACGGCTTAAGGCGGGCTCTTAATAAGTATATTTCTTTTTTTCTCGGCAACCGTTTGATGAACAAGAAAAACTCAAAGGATCAATTTTTTGGAAAAGGATGGCCAGTCAAGAAAAAAATATATTTTCTTTAAAAAAGCAGTAGTGTACCATTTATGTTAAGCAAAATATCGATTTTTTTTAATTTTTAACACCCTGTAGATCAGAAAGGAAGTACTTTAGACCTAATGGTTATATAAAAATTGTTTTAAGAACACATGAGGAATCACACCATAATTTTTTAGACTAATTAGAAAACACCCTGTATATTGTCAACTTGACAATGATTGTTGATAAATCAAAAAATACCTTTTCTGTGAAAAAGCCCGATTTTCGCAGGAAAAATTTTGGTTTTTATTGAATTTGGGCCTGCGTCTGCAAATACCGGTATGTTTTTTAATATTCTATCTATCTAAATTTTAAATATCATAGTCAGAAATAGTTTTATTATTTATTAACTGTAAAAATGGTATACTTATAAGTTTTATCAAATATTGTGATTTACTTTCTACCTTGTAGTCAAAATTTATATTTAATAAACTGTAAAATATATATATTCTTATGTTTTATTAAAGTTACTCTGATATACTAATATATCAGTGTAACTTTAAAACTAAATCCTTTGAAATCAAATATAAACATAAAAAATATTTACAGCAGAAAAGGCGAAGGCGCTGGGTTAAACGTAGTCTCTACTAAGAACACGGAGGGGCGCTTTGACCCAAAATTTTACTATTAAGTTTCATATCTATCTTAATAGAAGATTATTTTCTTTTATCTATGCTCAAAACTGACAACCAAAGAGACAGCTTTATTTATTTGTCAAATTACATAGAAACCAACGCCAACCCAGCACAGAATATTTTTTAAAACGTAACGCTATGGAAAAAAATATTGTTTTATACACGACGATAAAATTGCATTATCGTCTCCCGAATTAATCTTTTCGGTCTACAATAAAATACTATTTTATCGTCTTGTATAAAAAATAACTATTAATATATTTTTTCAACTAGTTGACTTAGTTTTTATGTTTACAGTACATTTTTGTAATAACTTTCATTTTCGTTTTAACATACCTATTCGTTCGCTACAACTTTCACCGTTATCGCATATTTTACAGCATCAGTTTAGCATTAATTTAAAATAATTATGCTAATAAAGCTTAAAAGCATAATGATTATATCAACCGAAAGATACAAACATTCGAGGAAAAATACGACCTATAAAATACAGGGTGTTTCAGTTAAATTGGGTAAATCCCATGGGTATTTTTAGTTGCGCATTTTTTTTAATAAAAACTTTTTGTACAGGGTGTACTTGTGTAATAGTAGCTAACATCAACATTCTTATTTTAGATAAAACACCTTGTATATTATTATTCTTTTGGTACTTTTAGTGATTAGTAAAATTACCGGTAATTTATAAATTTGTAATATTACCTGTAACATTGATAATTTTAACGGATTTTAAAAATTAAAATACATATTTTTTTACTTTTTATTTTTTATTTCTAAACTTGTACAATATAAAACTGTTCTTTTTTATTATAATATAACATTAATTGACTACAACTTAGACCTAAACATTGACAGGCACATTTCATTGGTAACCTACTTTAAAGCTCGGTATATTTATTATTAAATTGTTGCCGGATAATCGTTTTATTAAAAAACAAACCAATAAATCCTCGGTACTTCAGTCAAGTGTAGTACTTTCACTCACATTTCCGTCCATCATTTAGTTACACCGGTTCGACAAAAATGCAAATTTTTTCATTTAATAAATAATCGTCCAAATGGACTCACACTGTCACCAGAAATATTTGGAAAGCTCTGTGATATTTTAATAAAAACATAACAAACGAAAGTTTATCTATCTATCTATTATTTTTCGTAGCTTTTTCTAGCTTAGAAAAAAGAGCTAAATTTTCAAAGCAAAGAAATCATAAAGAATATACAATAAAAAGATAAAAATAAAACACAATGCAGGAATATTTACAGAATTATTACACACAAAAACATACAATAACGGAATTTAAGTTCAAGATTGTCTTAAAGAGAATTTAAATATTACTAGAAATACATTTTATAACACACACTATAAAAAATTTGATACAGTTTTAAATATTAAAAATACCACAGCCTATTCATTCCACAGCCAGTCGCCTTAAGATTATTTACATAGAATTCTGCGGACCAATCTAGATATTCGCAGACATTCTGATCTGTATTGATGCTCTGCATCCAAAAACTAGTGAAGTAGACTAGCTGTTTAATGAATATACTGTTATAAAACCATAGAATAATACAGATATACTCTGTAATTTTAGGGTAGTCCTGAAAAAACTGAAGTCACTCTATCCCAAGCACTGTTACATTAATTAAAATTCTTTAATTCAGTACTATCGACACAAACAATTATCACTGAGGTTAATTTTCAACCAATTCACATACCTGGCCACCCTGGTGTACACTCCTGGATACCCAGGTCTCCCACATCCCACCCCCCACGACACTATCCCCGCTATTTCGTACTTCTCCCCTGTATGCACCACCAAAGGTCCCCCACTATCCCCCTGGCACGAATCCATGGCACCCTTTCCAGCACACAACATATAACCTGTTATCCTTGATGACCTGTACTTCATTGCTCTACACTGATGCAAGGATAAAATCGGAACTTCAACTTCCTGGACTATGTTCGGTAACATTCCTCCTTCACTGGTTCTTCCCCAACCCACTACAGTACCTACTTTACCCGCTGGATCACTGCCAGAACCTGGAAGACATACAGGTCGAATGTTTTTACTGAATTCTACAGGTTTGCGAAGTTTTAACAGAGCTATATCGTGGTTATAGGTGTCTGTATCGAAGTTTCTGTGTCTGATAACGGCAGAAACAGCTCTCATCTTGGCTTTAACGTCTGTTGTGGTGGATTGGTCGTGATCTCCGAGGATAACACGGATTTTGGATCTTTTAAGCTTCCTGACACAGTGGGCGGCTGTTAGGACGAAACTCTCCGAAACCAAGGAAGCTCCGCAGTGGAAATGACCGTCGTACACTAATCTAGCGATCCAGGGGTAATGATTTACCCCTGTGGGTCTTCCTCCGACTATTCTGTTCTCGTGGTTTGATATCCCGCACTCACAACTGCACTCTCTAGCTCCATTGTCTTCATCCTCATCATCGTCATCATCATCATCACTAACAACATCAGAAGTAGAAGATATAACGCTACTTCCACCACCACCACCAAAAATGCTTCCGAAGCTGCCGAGAAGTTGGTTGAAGAAGATTTTACCTCGTCTGTGAGTCTTCAACGATGTGTTATTGTTGTAATTTACCGGTTTATTGGTGATTAATGTTGCGATAGAACTTATGAACGTTAAAGAAATTATTATTATGATCTGAAATCGCATTTTAGGTCGTGGTACTGTTGATTTCACCGATGGACTGCGAAAGAGGTATAAGCTGCTGTTCTTTCGTCGAGTCGACCTTGGAAGAAAGTAAACTCTCTTCGGCGGTACCAGAACGGAAAAAAATAACGTCGTGCATGGAGAGCATAATAATTTTAGACAGTTGTGGTTATGTCGCAATAGCTTTCGGTTTCTGTGCAGAATGTGGGAGAATTACTTATCTCTCGTAATAATTTAGAAATTTAGCGTAAATTATAAGATGTTATCGAGGTACTTAAGTGTTTATTACTGCGGTTTGTGCAGTGATTTTGATTAAATATGGAAGTGAAATGTTGGTGTCAATTAAAAAGAAATGTATTTGATATAAGATTTAATAAAATATGATCCCGATATGAGGTTTGTATTGTAGGTACCTATAGGATTTTTATTTGTTCACTAGATGAAAATTCAAAGATGAGGAAAATGCATGTTTTTAAATAATGGTTTTAAAAAATAGTTCATATAATTACAAATTGAACAAAAAAAAAATCGTTGATGTCGGTTAAGAAATGCCTCTAATATAAAATAATTAAATATTGTTAATTTAAATGGCTGGGCAAACGCTCTCTACCGCGCCTTGCCGCTGTGACGTCACCCGCCGTTCTTCTGGTTGAGTGGAGCCAGACGCTAATGTTAGTGTTTATTTTACACAGTTTGCTTTTAAACGCTGTTGAATCCGAGTCAAAATTTCAGTTATTTGTGTTAATTAATACATAATTAGTAATTAGTGATATTTATAAATAGTAATGGATGAGAGCGAAAACAGAAAAAAATGGTCCAAAGCCATGAGAAGAATTGTCTATAATTCCATTATAATCTCTTTTAGACAAAAAGTTTTCAAATAAAAGTTGTAGATAATCACATCCCTAATGAGTTTGTGTTCTTCGATTTTTTTTCTAAAGCCTGTCATTTTTGACATATGACACAAACATGTGTTTTTTTTAAATGGAAACCATAGTTGGCCATGACTTCATAAAAAGCGCCATTTTTAAGCTTTTCAGCGATATAAGCTATAATATGTTTTTTTATAATTTATTTTAGGAAAAGTTCTCCCGCACAGCCTCTTTGATTGCCCCTTTTAATTCATCGAGGAGGCCCATGCAATTGGTCCCCCTATTCCTATCCCTGAGTTTACATAAAAGTAATCTCTGTAAAACCGTCTCAGATACTGGCTTGAGACTGTATGATGAGTTATACCTCAAGAAAGAGAAGCAACAATCTACCATCTATATTATATCATCAATTTCGCAATTTTCGAAGATTTTCAGTTAAATTTTGAGTAAAAATAACTCACCCCTCGTAGCGTGACCCTTTTTTTTTCAAACTAAATAAACAACTATATTGCCCCATTTACTCTATTCATTCTGGAACTCGTTTGGCCGTTGCCTAGGCAACCCAGTTGCATGCCTAGACCCCGGAATAAACAACTTAGTATGTCGTTTATATATTATATTTTAATGATTAAACATTCGTCTATATCTTTATGCTCCCCCCTTCCGCCATGATGGTTGTCCCATCTATATTTCAATCTGACTGTGTATCTATAGAGAATATATATTTTAGTTTAATGCTTGATATCGACTATACTGTAGGTTTCGATAGAGGTCTTTATTCAGAAATAGATAGTAAAGTAAAAAAATTGTGTAGAGGAAAAATAGGTATAAAAAATTATATTTCGGTGAGTTAGTTTTTGAAAAAAAAAATTGTTGGATTTTGCGAAAATATTTTGTGAGTTATATTTTAATTTTGCACTATATTTTGTCAAATAATACACTCAACACAAAGTTATAAGAAAATAAATGTACAGGTTGTCCCATTTTTTGTTTTACAGTGTTTTTCGTTTATGAGTACGCGGTTTTTACATTATTTTGCTACTTTTTTATAAATCTTAAAATGCTATACATAGATTTGTCCCATTCCTCTTATTTCCTGAAATACAGGGCAGGGCGAATCTTTATACAGGGTGTACTATTTCCATTCTAAATATCTTGAGAACGCTTGCTCGTAGCGATTTTTACCAAGAGGCATTTTTTAAGTAAAAAAATCACGGAAATGTTAAGAAATGTATATTTTTTCACTCCGTAGTTTTATACAGGTACGGACAAAAAGTTATTACTTTTCAAAACAGTTAAAACACATGTAGGTGGCGTCCCCTACAAATAGGAGTCATATTGACATCAAAATCAAATTTCTCATATCAAAAAACTCCCAGATACCAATTTTCATCCAAATATTGACGCTATTCAGTTATTTAGAAAAAAACGAAATAAAAATTAAACCTCTCTAGTATGTCAGAAACTAAGCATTTTAAGATATACATTTATACGAACTTTTTTACTTATTTTTATCTGCAGAGTATGATGCCGAAGTTTTCGGAATACAGTTGGGACCACCCTGTATATTAATTTTCACAAAAATACAAAATTACTCAATATCAATTTTAACAGGTACCTACAGAAAGTGTTTAAAAAACAAGGTTTTATTTATATTATAAAGTACAGGGTGTTCTAGTTTCCAAAATGCATATATTTTTAAGCAAAAACAGCATTTTATTTAGAAATCTAATATGATTTTAATGTAAAATTATTTTTAAATCACCCTGTATTTTTGTTTCATACCATTTGTTAGCATTTATTAAAGAAAAATTATAATAAAAAGACCACCCTGTATCACTTTAACTTCTCTTATATATTTGATTTGTATTTTTTTAAATTTATTCAAAGTTTTCTTTATATTATCACAGTTTTTGAGTTATTGCACATCCTGTATATCCTAGTCTCCAATTTTGAAATAAAATTATTGTCAAAAAACTATTTTCAGACTGTCCAAAGACAAACAACATTGACAAGCATGTGCCATTGGATGACACAATGACTTTTTACATTCATTCTACATAAATTGATTATACATTCCTCAAAAAAGTAGGAGATTACAAATAGAATCATGGCACAATCCAAGGATAAAATGTCGGAAATCGATGACCACATTGCCAAAAGATTCGACATCCAGAAAAGACTGGGAAAAGGTGCTTATGGTATTGTCTGGAAAGCTATAGATAGGAAAAGCAAAGATGTAGTCGCGGTGAAGAAGATTTTTGATGCTTTTCGAAATCAAACTGATGCCCAGAGGACTTTCAGAGAGATCATGTTTTTGCAGTCATTCAAAAATCATCCTAATATAGTTAAATTGCACAGTATTCATAGGTAAGTACTTCTATTTGGTTGTTTACTAAGTGCAGTTAAATTAGATTCTTCATTATCTACTTTTTAAAAATATTTTAGAGCATCAAACAACAAAGATATTTACTTGGGCTTCGAGTATATGGAGACTGATTTACATAACGTCATTAAAAGAGGCAATATCCTTAAAGATATTCACAAAAGATACATTATGTACCAATTATTGAAGGCCATCAAGTATATACATTCAGGAAATGTAATACATAGAGACCTCAAACCCAGCAACGTTCTTCTAGACAGTTTGTGCAGGTAAACATGTAGTAAGTAAAAGTAATTTAGTGACTTTGTAGCGTGAATTTTTAGTGAAACTTTTCTTAAAATATTTTACAATATTAATTTCTTTATTTTTAAAAAAGTTATGTAATAATCTCAACTTTTAATACATTATAGATGCAAAATTGCTGATTTTGGGTTGGCAAGATCTCTGACTCAAGGTTCTGAGACGACCCTGAGTGACAGCGATCCAACCCTGACCGATTACGTAGCTACCAGGTGGTATAGAGCTCCAGAAATCCTCATAGCCAACAGGAGGTGACTTTGTTTAATAGCTTTTTGGACTAAAAGTTTTACCAAAAATTATAAAAACGTTTCAGGTATACCAAGGGGATTGATATGTGGAGTTTAGGGTGTATTTTGGCAGAAATGTCAGGTGGTAAGCCGATATTTCCTGGTACTTCTACGGTGAATCAGGTGGAGAAGATTATGGCAGCCATACCAACTCCTAGTCTAGATGGTATGCCTATATCTGTATAAATAAAAATTGATCTTGGTGTTTTAAGTTTTCTAATACAAAAAGTGGTTCACCCTGTACAGGGTGTCTGTTAAATAAATGCAAGTATTTTAACTGGAATTGGCAAAGAATTGTTGAAAAAATTACATTTTTTTGCATTTTTTGCGAGAGTTTGAGAGAAAAAAACTAAAAAATTAATACTAGTTTTTTTAAAAACAGTATACCGGGTGCGTCTCAAAAGTGGCTCACTCCAATAACTTTTTTATTTTTTTAGACAAAAAATAGGATTAATTGACGTATTCAATTGTTTTTGGTCACTTCCTGTTCCACCGGAAGTGACTTTATAATAAATAAATGAACTTTAGATTTTTAAATTGAACCTTCGGTATTTTTTTACTTTATTCGTTAGAAAATGACATATCATATATATGTCAACTTTGGAAATTTTCGTATATGGTTTATTTGAAATTGTAAAATGCGGTTCGATAACGACAAATTGACTCGAAATACCAAGTGTGTGGTACCAAATTATTCGTAAAAAAATGCTTTTTCTGAATATGCGAATTAGCCACCCTTGTTTCATTGAGATACGATTAAAAATACGATTTGGGCATCTTTCAACCGGCCAGGACAAGACACGAAAAACATTAAACGATCTAATCTATTTTTCTAAAGCTTCTTGATTAAAAATTACCGTGTTTTTAACACAGCCATGGCACCCTAGATTGAAATTTAAATACGATTTTTTAAATAAAAAAATAAAAAGTCATGGAGTGAGAATAGAGTCAGGAGTGAGAATAGAGTATAGAAACTATGCTTGTTTTGTCCAGCTCTATCTATCCCTTAAAATACTTGCACTTATTCAAAAGATACCCTGTATATATCTATAACTTCTTTAATTTCCCAATTCTCTCTGATTTTACAGACATCAACCAGGTCTGTATCTCAGGCGTAGGCTCTTCCATGATCAAAAACGCCTCCTCCGTCTCAAAAACACCCATTCAATCCATGTTAGGCTCCAGCGTGCCCCACGATGCCATAGCCCTAATCAACCGCCTGCTAGTGTTCAACCCCCACAAAAGACTGAAAGCTGACGAAGCCCTAGAACATGAGTACGTGGAAAAGTTTCACGATAAAGAACGCGAGATTGGCATGACCACAAACGTCGTAGTACCACTGAACGACGATATAAGGCTCTCTGTGGACGATTATAGGAATAAACTGTATGAGTTAATGTCCGCAGATCACCAGCAACATCGAAATTCCTTGACAAAACCAGTCAGAATCGTTAAACAACGACTTATAACGCCAGAGGTATACTCAAAAGTCACCAAAAACGCAGAAAAGTACATTAGATCCCATGCAAATCCAAAAGAAAGAGTGATATCACATTCAGAACCAAAAATAAACGCCAAAAACCCTTCCAGCGTAGTTCATATGGCCCAGGTGAATCGCTCAGACTCCAAGGTAATCACTGGAAAGGTTACCCAGGTACTGGATAGAGGCAGTGTTGCCAGAGGAGGTGCTGGAGACTGTAAAGGACATTTAAAATCATCCACCGAAGTTCCTAAACGACGGATAACACCACCCAAGACGAAATTGTACGAGTCTTTTAATAGTTACAATAAATCTCATGGAATTATTACTCAGAGCGCTCTGATGGAATTCAGGGCGGCTGGACTCAGATGAGTACTAGTATTTCGAGGGGGGTTTGGATATATTTTGAGTTTTTTTATATTTATACGCGTATTATGTACGGCAATATTTGAATAAAACGTTTTTGCAAACATATCTGTGATTTTTGTTTGAGTTTTACAACTAATTTTAATGTTACATCGAAAATATTTCAGTAAAAAAAAATAATGCTGCTAGAGGTATTTTTACTTTCATAAAGGTGAGAAAAGAGTGGTATCTCACTCAGAGCATAAGATAATCATTAAAATATGAGTTAGAATAGTTCAAATGACTCGGGGAATCACTCAGAATCCAAGGTCATGGGTTGGAAGGTTCTGTTTTGGAAAAGGTATTGTTTCGATATAGAAGAAATACAGATATAGAACAAAATCAGTTATTTTTGAAAGGAAAAATAGTTTTTTCAATATGGAAAAGCTTATAGGTAGGGAAATATATGGTTAAATAAAACGAGGATAAAACACAACATTTTAAAGAACATTTATTTAAACTAAGATAATGAATAAATAACATTTATAGACCGTTTTTTTTTTCTAAAATCACCGACTTTGGCACATATAATATATTTGTAACTATATTTTTATGAAACTACACAGATTCTAAAACTACATATATTTTTTTCTATATATAGGTATTTGAAAATATCAATTTATCTAACAATAATAATACTGATTTTGGTAAAACACTATGCGATCACAGAAGAGAATATGTACTTAACAATAACTTACTAATACAATAGAAATATACTCTATACTGATGACTCTGTTTGATGTATAACTAGAGTTATTTAATTTTCTAAAAAGCTATAATATATAAATACGTTTTTTTTTGTACAAACTAAAAGATTAATCTAACTTAATTCAGGCCATTCTTTAAAACTACATGACTAGAGAAGAAAAAACACCAACCCTCAATTATATATCACATCCCTTAAAAAACTCATTTCATTTTAATAAAAATATTTTTAAAATTGAAAAAAAACATTTTTTCTTAAGGGAATCTCAGCTTATTTGGATCCGGATACTCTGGATTCTCTATACATCCTTTGCCATATTTTAACTCCAGAAAATCCCTTATATTATTAGGACTAGGGACACTACGGCCTACAAAATCTATACTGGACATCGGATGGAGAAAACTGTCAGTGAATTCCATGTTTTTATGACTGGTAAACCAGGAATCTTTGGTCATGGTACCGTTTTTTGAGTAGAACGGAAATAAATTCACATTTATCCTGTTTGTTTTACTGTAAAAAACCTTAAAAATATTCCCTTCCGTACCTTTTTCCCACAGGAAACCTTTCTTATCCACAACAGGCTTACTTTGGGCCTTTTTCAGCCACTTACACCTATTCAAATCATCCCTAACAAACCCTATATCAACGTTATGATCCCATGGGAGCACATCCCCACTCCTCATAGCTCCAAGAAGACTCCCAGCTTCCAACCAATACCTTACACCAGCCTCATCCAATGCAGAAAACACATGCCGGGCAGTTTTCCTCAAATTTGACATACAGCAAGGCGGAGTCCATTTTTTTTCAAACAAATACGACGGCATAGAGTCCAGGACTATACCAAAACACCTGGGAGTTTCTTTGGAACATCCAAACCACTCCGTGACTCCTGTTTCACGAATAATTTGCTTTATTTTGAAGGTTTTGTACAGGGATTTCAATAGTTCTTGGTCGGATTGTTTTTTCTTGAACTGGCTGTGGTGGGTTCTTAGTACTGGCTTTCCTTCGTGCAGAGAATTTGCTTTTAATATTTTAACCTAGAAAATACAATTAGAATTGTAATAAAATCATATTAGAAACATACCTGAATGTTTTGGAATGAAGATTGAAGATATAAAGCATGTGGAAATGGTAAAAGTAATGGATTATACATATTTTTAAGTAAATTTTTCTCGAGCATAATCAAATGCTTGCCTACAACCTCATCACAGTTATTTTCTTTGGCCAAATTGTATCTTACTGTCCATTCTCTTTGGTTTATGTTCAATTTCAAGCATTTCAGGCCTTTTGAATGAGCACTGACTGGAAGAACAGCAATACTACCTGGATTTTTATCAATCTCACTGAGCATTACTTGTAAAGGATGCTGTGAAGTTATTCTACTAGAGTCTGGCACAAATAACACATATTTTGTTGTAATCTGTGACAAAATATCATCCTGATGTTTTAGGCCAGGACTTAAGTTATATAGCTGGATGTTAGTCAAGGAATTGTTTGTTATAGCCAAGTCCAGAGGAGGATACGGAACCTCGTTGTAAACAATCCATAACATTATGTTAGGAAACATATTAATGAAGCTCTGAGCTGTTAAAGTCACATCGTTCTCATACAGTTCAAATTCCCTCAGAATTATCGTTACAAGCTGGCTTATTTTAAGTTTAACGGGTTTGGTAGACGTCTTGGCGGAGAGTAGCTTCTTGTTTAAGTCATAGTCAGCTATTTTTATGTTTAAATAATACTTGTACCAGATAAAACACAAAACAATAACAAATAACATAACCCTCCAGAGTTTGTATCGCATTCTGTTAATGTAGTTTACTGAAAATATCAAACTTACATTGTAGAAATAGAATATATATTCGTGGAATACTTGAATTTACGCATTTTGTATATTATTTATGATTAATACAAAGTTTTGTGAATTTTAAATCAACATTTTGAAATGTCGTCCATTTGAACTACTTCTAGTATTTGACTTTTGAGAAAAATAATAATTTTTGTTTTAAAGTATATTAAATATTTACGTATAAAATTTACTTAAAAAACTCTGATTTTGTATTATTGTATGTATCTATTATACTGTATTAATTGTTCCTTATTTATTGATAATACTAAAAAATATAAAATTATTAAAAGTTAAAGATAATATATATGCAACCAAACATACATCGAAAAATTGCCCTTTAGAATTTTATCTAAATTCACAGTTATAGTAATAATTCCTTATTTTTCTGTTAGTTTAATCAAAAATATATCTTTTATTAATCCTCTAGTAGCATATACAATATTTTTAACGTGTCAATTACAAAAATAACTTGCAATTTCCTTAAAGTAGCTCAAATGAACCACTGTAAAGTACCGATATTTTGCGCGCGACGCTCTACCTTGCATCCCGCCTAATTTCAAGCGCAGGATCGCTATTTTCCAGCAAATATCGAATATCCCGAAGCACAACGCGCCGGGCACCGGTATAGCAATCTAGCTGATTGCTAGCGTATAGCTATAAAAATGGCTACAAGCGATAGCAAAGCTCCTCTACGCACAGTAAAGAAGGTGCAATTCGGTATTTTGAGCCCTGATGATATTGTAAGTAAAGATGCAGTGAAATACGGTTTATTTTGGCGTAATAACTGCATTTTTGAAATCTTCATCCCCATGAAATATCATCCCTTAACAATTTGATATTAAAAAATGTGCGTTTTACTTTGCTCGGATATAATAATGAAATATGCTCGTATCAATAAAAAGTAAAAATAAAAAAGTATTTGATGAATTAATATAATTCTTTAAAAATGATAATATTATTTTGCTTTTAACTAGAATACAATAATTCATTTTTTCTTTATAAAAATGGCTATAAAATTAAATAAACGTGTTTGAAAAATTATAGAAAATTGTGCAATATACAGGGTGGTTCACCACATACGACAGAGAGTATTGTAGCTAAACGATTAGATTTTTACAAATTGTAAGTTTTGGGTTCGTTAAAGGACTATTAGAGCTACAATTTAAATATAATTTTATAAGATATGGAGTGTCCCAAATAAGTAAAAAATATTATAGTTGTATTTTTTTAAATGGAATACCCTGTATATTATTCTATTTTTACATTCTACGATTGAAATAAAGGTAAATTTCATTAAGGTTTGTCATACTTAAAACGTACAGTTTTTGAAATATTTTCAATTTTGTGAAATTGCAGTAAAAAAATTAAGGCTTCATTTCTCCAAGGGTATCAAAGTTTTTAATTCTAAATAATATTTACTGAAGATTATATATTCATTAGATAATGTGTTGCAATAATAAAAATTATACTACCTTATACAGAGTGTCTAAAAATTTATATTAAATAATTACTAGCTTTAACCGGCAATAACTTGTTTAATTTAAATGGAACACCCTGTATATTTTATGTGTATCAGATGCACAATTTAATTGTCTATCAAATTGTATTATATCATTTTTACCTATCTCTTCAAATTTTCGTAGAAAATGCATTTTCTTATAATTTATACCTCATTTATCACGATACCCATGGAATATTGACATTTTAGATTTTTTTAAAGCAACTTATGGTCAAAATGAACAAGTGGTAAAAATAATAGTATTGCAAGCCCATTTTGAGTAGAAAAAGAAAACTATTTAAATCTTTCTAAAAGAGTATATCAATTATTAAATATATCACCAATATTTCCGCCCAAAGTTAATTACATACTTAATTGTTTTAATTAATAAATTATTCCAAGTAAATGTGAATTTGACTCAGAAATTAGTATAATAATAAGTTATGAAAATGAACGTCTCTGTTGTTATAAATAAGCATTCGTCAAAAAAATGAAATAAAATTTATAAGGTGTTACTTTTTACCACACTGTCCAATACACATACAAAATTCAGTGTTTAGTATTTAGAGCAATTATTATTAATCAACGTAAACAGTCAATTAATGCAGTTTGAATACTGGGATCATATTAATTGGTTCTCTTTAACAAAAAATATATTTAAACAGTTTCTTGTATTTTTTAATGAAATAAACGAACTATATCGACAATATTAGGATCTGTACTCTTTGAAAATTTGTTACATCGTTAAAAATAATTTAAAATGTCAATATTCCATGGGTATAGTGATAAATGAGGTCTAAATTATAAGAAAATGCATTTTCTACGAAAACTTGAAGAGATAGCTAAAAAGTTAATATAATACAATTTAATAGACGATTAAATTGTGCATCTGATTAAACAAGTTATTGCCGTTTAAAGCTAGTAATTATTTAATATAAATTTTTAGACACTCTGTATGAGGTAGTATTATTTTTATTATTGCAACACAATATCTGATCGATAAATAATCCTTCCAGTTTATGAAATCCATTTTCAAGTTGTGTCCCGTTTAAATCAACATAATACGATACGTATATATACAGGGTTGTCCCAAAAAAAAACTGATCCACTTTAACGTTATTTTCAGCGACGCATGTCAGTCACAGAGGGCGGCATACGCTTCCCCGAAACCATGGAAGCTGGCCGCCCCAAACTAGGCGGTCTTATGGACCCCCGACAGGGCGTCATAGACCGACATTCCCGCTGCCAAACATGCGCGGGCAACATGACCGAATGCCCCGGTCATTTCGGCCACATCGACCTGTCCAAACCGGTTTTCCATGTCGGTTTCATCACGAAAAACATCAAAATCCTCCGCTGTGTCTGTTTCTACTGCAGCAAACTCTTGGTCAATCCTACCAACCCGAAAATCAAGGAGATTATCATCAAAACTAAGGGTCAACCTAGACGAAGACTTGCTCACGTCTATGATCTGTGTAAAGGGAAGAATATTTGTGAAGGGGGGGATGAAATGGACGTTTCTAAAGACGGTGAAGAACAGATCAATAATAAGAAAGCTGGACATGGAGGTTGTGGAAGGTACCAACCAAATATCAGACGCACTGGACTGGATTTACGTGCTGAATGGAAGCATATCAATGAAGACTCGCAGGATAGAAAGATAGCACTTACAGCTGAAAGAGTTTGGGAGATCCTAAAACACATAACAGACGAGGAATGCTTCATTTTAGGTATGGACCCGAAATTTGCCAGACCAGACTGGATGATAGTCACAGTTCTACCCGTACCACCTCTTCCAGTACGACCAGCAGTAGTAATGTACGGTTCAGCGAGAAACCAAGACGACTTAACCCACAAGCTTGCAGACATCATCAAAGCCAACAACGAACTACAAAAAAACGAAGCTGCCGGAGCTGCAGCTCATATTATAACGGAAAATACAAAAATGCTTCAATTCCACGTCGCAACTTTAGTTGATAACGATATGCCTGGAATGCCTAGAGCTATGCAGAAATCCGGAAAACCTCTGAAAGCTATTAAAGCACGGCTTAAAGGTAAAGAAGGAAGAATCAGAGGAAATCTGATGGGTAAACGTGTAGATTTCTCTGCCAGAACCGTTATAACTCCAGATCCAAACCTCCGAATTGATCAGGTAGGAGTTCCAAGAAGCATAGCTCAAAACCTGACCTTTCCCGAAATTGTGACGCCGTTTAACTTTGAGAAAATGCTCGAGCTGGTTCAGCGAGGAAATTCACAGTACCCTGGAGCTAAATATATTATCAGAGATAATGGGGAGAGAATCGACTTGAGGTTTCATCCAAAATCTTCAGACCTACACCTCCAATGCGGTTACAAAGTTGAAAGACACATCAGAGACGGAGATTTGGTAATATTCAACCGACAACCCACTCTTCACAAGATGAGTATGATGGGGCACAGGGTTAAAGTCCTTCCTTGGTCAACTTTTCGCATGAATCTATCCTGTACTTCACCATACAACGCTGATTTCGATGGGGATGAAATGAACTTGCACGTTCCTCAAAGCATGGAAACCAGAGCTGAGATAGAGAACCTCCACATCACTCCACGCCAAATCATAACTCCCCAAGCCAACAAACCTGTGATGGGTATAGTACAGGACACTTTGACAGCTATCAGGAAGATGACCAAGAGAGATGTCTTCATTAACAACGAACAAATGATGAATCTACTCATGTTCCTTCCAATCTGGGATGGTAAAATGCCTAGACCTGCTATTTTGAAACCTAAACCTCTTTGGACAGGGAAACAAGTGTTTTCCTTGATCATTCCTGGAAACGTTAATATGATGAGGACGCATTCAACACATCCAGACGATGAAGATGAGGGTCCTTACAAGTGGATATCTCCAGGAGACACCAAAGTAATGGTAGAACATGGTGAGCTAATTATGGGAATTTTATGCAAGAAAACTCTAGGTACTTCAGCTGGGTCTTTACTGCATATTTGTATGCTTGAACTGGGTCACGAAGTATGCGGTAGATTCTATGGAAACATCCAGACTGTAGTAAATAACTGGTTGCTACTTGAAGGTCACAGTATCGGAATAGGTGACACCATCGCCGATCCCCAGACTTATTTAGAGATCCAGAAAGCAATCAAAAAGGCTAAAGAGGATGTTATTGAGGTTATCCAGAAAGCACACAACATGGAGCTTGAACCAACACCAGGCAATACACTGAGACAGACTTTCGAGAACCAAGTAAACAGAATTTTGAACGATGCCCGTGATAAAACTGGTGGTTCTGCAAAAAAGTCTCTTACTGAATACAACAATTTGAAAGCTATGGTGGTATCCGGTTCTAAAGGTTCAAACATTAATATTTCTCAAGTTATCGCCTGTGTAGGACAGCAGAACGTTGAGGGTAAACGTATTCCTTTTGGATTTAGAAAACGAACTTTACCCCATTTTATCAAAGATGATTATGGTCCAGAATCCAGAGGATTCGTAGAGAATTCATATCTAGCTGGATTGACACCTTCGGAGTTTTATTTCCACGCTATGGGAGGTAGAGAAGGTCTTATTGATACCGCAGTAAAAACCGCAGAAACTGGATACATCCAGCGTCGTCTGATCAAAGCTATGGAATCGGTAATGGTGAACTACGATGGTACTGTAAGGAACTCAGTAGGTCAGCTTATCCAGCTACGTTACGGCGAAGACGGGCTATGTGGTGAAATGGTTGAGTTCCAGTACTTACCAACGATCAAACTCAGCAACAAAACCTTCGAGAAGAAGTTCAGGTTTGATCCAAGCAACGAAAGATATCTCAGAAGAGTTTTTAACGAGGATGTCATAAAACAACTCATGGGATCAGGAGAAGTCATTTCTGAGCTTGAAAGGGAATGGGAACAGCTTCAAAAAGACCGTGAAGCTTTGAGACAAATTTTTCCTAGCGGGGATGCCAAGGTGGTACTTCCGTGCAACCTCCAGAGAATGATTTGGAACGTTCAGAAGATATTTCATATTAATAAAAGGGCACCAACAGACCTTTCACCGATCAGGGTATGAATTTAAGTTTTTAGAATACCTAGGTAAAATTTTTGTTTATTTTTTGGTGAATTTCAGGTGATTAGAGGTGTCAGGGACTTGTTAGCCAGGTGTATCATAGTGGCTGGAGAAGACAGACTATCAAAACAAGCCAATGAGAACGCTACTTTACTGTTCCAGTGTTTGGTCAGGTCAACCCTTTGTACTAAAGCTGTTTCTGAAGAATTCAGGCTCAGTACTGAGGCTTTTGAGTGGTTAATTGGTGAAATCGAGACTAGATTTCAACAAGCACAAGTTAACCCAGGTAAAATCTCTTTATTTGTGTATTTTTTTGTGTTTACTATATATTTTTTAAGGTGAGATGGTCGGAGCATTGGCAGCACAATCCTTGGGGGAACCAGCAACTCAGATGACCTTGAACACCTTCCATTTTGCTGGGGTGTCATCCAAAAACGTCACACTGGGTGTACCAAGGTTGAAAGAAATCATTAACATATCCAAGAAGCCTAAAGCTCCATCTCTGACTGTTTTTCTTACTGGTGCAGCTGCCAGGGATGCAGAAAAAGCCAAAGTAAGTTGTATGTCCAGAGAAATACGTATACATAGAGGAGATATTTGTTTCTCTATGTTTACTTATTTCTCTGATATGTTTTTATTCTTTATTTTTACAGAACGTGTTGTGTCGACTGGAGCATACTACACTAAGAAAAGTGACAGCGAATACTGCCATTTATTATGATCCGGATCCTCAAAATACTGTCATTCCAGAAGATCAGGAATTCGTGAATGTCTACTATGAAATGCCTGACTTTGATCCAACGAGGATTTCTCCGTGGTTGCTGAGAATTGAGCTTGACAGAAAACGTATGACTGATAAGAAGCTGACTATGGAACAAATTGCTGAGAAAATCAATGCTGGTTAGTCTTAGCTAGTATTTTCGTGGAGTACGTTAAAAATTTAAATTATTATTTTAGGATTTGGTGATGATTTGAATTGTATTTTCAACGACGACAATGCTGAAAAATTAGTCTTGAGAATCAGAATAATGAACAGTGATGACGGAAAATTCGGTGATGCAGGTGGGGATGAAGATGTCGACAAAATGGACGACGATATGTTCCTAAGATGCATCGAAGCCAACATGCTGAGCGACATGACTTTGCAAGGCATAGAAGCCATATCTAAGGTTAGTTATATCCTGTGATAACAAAAAAAATTCTCTAAATGAAATAATATAGGTCTACATGCATCTACCACAAAGCGATTCCAAAAAAAGAACCGTCATCACTGAAACAGGCGAGTTTAAATCCATTGCCGAGTGGTTGCTTGAAACTGACGGTACCAGCATGATGAAAGTACTGTCCGAAAGAGACGTAGATCCTGTCAGAACTTATTCCAACGACATCTGTGAAATATTTTCGGTAAAAATTCGAATTACCATGCCCTCTCATTATTTTAAACCAAATATTTTCATTAGGTACTTGGTATAGAAGCTGTCAGAAAGTCTGTAGAAAAAGAAATGAACGCGGTGTTGCAATTTTACGGCCTGTACGTCAACTATAGACATCTGGCCTTACTGTGTGACGTCATGACAGCAAAGGGCCATCTTATGGCCATAACACGTCACGGGATCAACAGACAAGACACTGGCGCCCTCATGAGGTGTTCTTTTGAAGAAACTGTCGATGTTTTGATGGATGCAGCATCGCATGCTGAAGTTGACCCAATGAGAGGTATTTTTTACATAAATTTGTAATGATTTTTAATGGGTACCTATTTGTTTTATTTAAGGTGTTTCGGAAAATATAATCTTGGGACAGTTACCAAAAATGGGAACTGGTTGTTTTGATCTACTACTAGATGCAGAAAAATGTAAACTAGGTATTCCGATACCTCAGGCTCATGGAGGTGATATTATGTCGTCCGGAATGTTTTTTGGAGCTGCCGCAACACCCAGTATGAGTCCAAGCGGTGCTATGACTCCTTGGACTCAAGGGAGTACACCGTATGTTGGGAGTGCCTGGTCTCCACACAGTAAGAAGTTTTATTTATACATCAAAACTATTTTTATTTAATAAAATACATATTTTCTAGACTTATTAGGAAGTGGAATGACACCCGGAGGTCCTGCTTTTTCACCTTCAGCTTCATCTGACGTTTCTGGGATGTCTCCAGCTTCAGGAATGTCCCCGGGATACGGAGCATGGTCTCCGACACCTCAAAGTCCGGCAATGTCACCTTATATGGCTTCCCCAGCATCTATGCACGGTACATCTCCGTCGTATAGTCCATCAAGTCCAGCCTTTCAACCGGCATCTCCCTCAATGACTCCCGTGTCTCCAGGGTACTCTCCGAATTCTCCAGGTTATTCTCCGACAAGTCCAAATTATAGTCCGACTAGCCCCAGTTATTCACCGACAAGCCCCAGGTATTCCCCGACGTCGCCTTCCTATAGTCCTACGTCTCCTAGTTATTCGCCTACGTCACCGAGTTACAGTCCGACTTCTCCGAGTTATTCACCGACTTCGCCGAGTTATAGTCCGACGTCTCCGAGTTATTCTCCTACTTCTCCGAGTTATTCACCAACGTCACCGAGTTACAGTCCGACTTCACCAAGTTATTCTCCGACTTCTCCAAGTTATTCACCTACTTCTCCGAGTTATAGTCCGACATCACCGGGGTATTCCCCTACTTCTCCGAGTTATTCACCGACATCGCCGAGTTACAGTCCGACATCACCGAGTTATTCTCCGACTTCTCCAAGTTATTCGCCTTCTTCTCCGAGATATACGCCAGCTTCGCCAAGTTATTCGCCTACTTCTCCCAGTTATTCACCATCGTCACCACAGTATTCCCCAGCGTCACCGAGTTATTCACCCTCGTCACCTAAATATTCACCAACATCTCCAAGTTATTCACCCACTTCACCCTCGTTCGTTGGTGGAAGTCCGCAGTATTCTCCTACGTCTCCCAGTTATTCACCAACTTCACCAAGTTATTCACCAACTAGTCCCCAGCATACTCCAGGTAGTTCGAGGTATTCACCTACTTCTCCCCAGTATTCACCTCACAGCACTAAGTATTCACCAACGTCACCTACTTATACTCCAACAAGTCCGAGTTATTCACCAGCATCACCTACTTATTCGCCGCAGCCTCCTAGATATTCACCATCGTCACCGAGTTATTCACCTGGCCAGGATGAATAAATTTTTGAGTAAAATCTGTCCAATGAGTCAGGAAAGATTTTGACAGATGGCATAAAAAAAATGACACAATATTCCATTTACCTGTGAGTTAAATGACAGATATCTGTCATTTTAATTCCTCCCTCCTTGGACAGTCTACATTAGTAGAATAGTAATAAGTATTTTATATATATCGTATAATAAAATAAAAACGATGTCATAATATGCATAGAAATGGAATTTCAGTTCCTTTTTAATATTCAGCTGTTACTATCGAGAATTTCAGCTAGAGATATGGTAAAGGTGGAACTATATAAAATGTTACTTCGACGCCTACTATGACGCTATTTTTATTTGATCATACCGTTTATAGATTCATTCCTTCTCGATGTGTCAGTATTATAAATACTGAATATTTATATAAAGTAATAATTGGTAGAATTAAACTAAGATTTAAATAACCTATAGCTTCAATATAGGACCGTATGATCGAAAAAAAACGGCGTCAGAGATGGCCGAGGAATGCCAATCGATGATAATTTTGACAAGGTCAATCTGTATATACGTTATTTACAGTAATTTTTACGCAATATAAAAATAAATTACAACCTTTTTAAGGCTCACTGGTATTAAGCGCCGTTAAGATATAACAGGACAAGTAAATTACTTCTATAGGGCTTGAACTCGCCAAAATTATTATCGTTTTTAATTCCTCAGCCGTCTTTGACGCCCTTTTTTTCGATTGTATGGTTTTAGAATATATAAAAACAAATATATTCTAAAAAGAGCACAATTTTTGAGCATATTACATTTGATGTAATAATAATTTATATATCTCTCTGTAATAATGTTTTATTTATTATATTAGCTGTTATTCTATTTTTATTATAAATTATTTTTTGTAAAGTCTGAAAATGGAAAGGTTAAGACTGACGGTTCGTTTGAACTACTTCGACTGATAGATGTTTGTGTATCGTGAAAAAAGCTCAGATTTTGCATATAAATATTTTTATTAGATAGTTAAGCAACAATATATTTTATATATTTTTATATATTTGTTAAAAATTATTTATTTATATTAAGAGTTTTATTTATAGTATATTTACCTGTTTTTAACTTGTTTCCAATGTTACAATACTTTTTAAATAAATACACAGTTTTAAAGTACTTAAAAGTATTTTTATTTAAATAAACTTCTACAAACATTAGAAGAAAATAAATCTAGGTATATCTTCTGTACTCTTATAAGGGAAATATATTAAATTGAACAAACATTTTTTAACATTAATTGAACCATATTCTTACAGAAAAAAAAACGAAGACATTTAATGAATTTGAGACTAAAAAAATTACATTATATCATATCCAGTAAGGTCCATTGTTAATACTTGACTTATTAGACAGTCGCCAGGCTGTAACAAAAAAAAATAAGTATGTACAGGGCGTTCATGGGTATTTTAGCCAATAGTTATCTCCGTAAATATTTAAGAAGGTAAGTTTTGTTCATGTAAATAATAACTGTTTATATATTTATAATTAGTTTATTTTTGTTTCCTAAAATCGCATCTGTGCCGGTCAAGCATAATCACGTCACTAAAAGTTTATTTGGTATGAACTGTATATGTACAGGGTGTTAATATTTTAGTCAATATTTATTTTAGACAAAAGTTTAAGGTATGAATAAAGTCTTTGAATTTTCGAAATAATAAAAAACTGTCAAAACCGCCACGTTTTGTTAAAAAGGTACAATAAAAGTTGATGAAAAAAATGTAACATTGAATATCTTTTATTATATCTGACTCACCTGAGGACATATTCCAATCAAAGCATCGGCATGTGAGTAAAACTCCTCCTTCAGCGATATAACAATAATCTGCAAAGACTCGGTTTTCTCGCAAATAAACTTGGCAACTTTGCCGATGTTTGTGTTATCCAGAGCAGCGTCCACCTCATCCAGAACGAAGAACGGAGCTGGCTGGTAGCTGTGGATGGCGAAAAGCAGCGCCAGGGCAGCTACAGTCTTTTCACCACCGGATAGGTTAGACATGGGCTGGAATCTTTTACCTGGAGCTACGCAGTTGTAGTTTATACCGTCCAAGTAGGGTTCTTCGGGGTTTTCAGCACCTAGAGTCAGGTTTGAATGAGACTAATTGATTTTATGCATAGTTTATAAATCTGGAGTGACATTATGTCGGGACATGAAATTATAGTGACACTATTGGGACTCTTAGGTAACTTACATACACACATACGGCGCCCCCTACAAATAAGAGTCATATTGACATCAAAATCAAATTTCTCATGTCAAAAAACTCCACAGACACCAATTTTCATCTAATTATTGACGTTACTTCAGAAATTATTTGGAAAAAATCGAAATAAAGATGAAACTTCTACACCCTGTATCTCCGAAACTAGGCATTTTAGGACATACATTTATACAAACTTTTTTACTTATTTTTATCTGCAGAATATGCTGCCAAAGTTTCCGGAATACAGTTCGGACCGCCCTGTATATAGAGAAACTATTGCTACACTTGTTGAATTTAACACTTTACGTCAGTTTAATAATATATTTTCGTACTTTTGTGCTAGAGGCGTAAAAATGACTTTTTTATATTGTCATTCACTGTCATTTATTTAATATCTAGTTTCAATAAAATTTTAATAGAACATAGATTCATCACAGAATCACACATAAATTCATTACAATCCTTTTTTCCAAATAAAATTAAAGTCCCAAAACTTAGAGCATGTAATCGACTAGATACGACTTTAAAACGAAACACGTGACGTCATCTCAGGGCAAATATATCTATTTTATACGTTTTACTGTCATTATTTTACAAAGAACTTGCAACATATCACTCAAATAACGTCAAAAATCCACCATTTCCTGAAATACTTACCAAGAAAAGCTTGAGCCGACTGATTTTGAGCCAAAGACTTGTAAATGGCGTCAATCTCATTTACCACATGATCAAAACACGCAGTAAACTTCTCGTATCTGGTTAATTTGACCTTTTCAAAGGCCGCCTTGGCTTTTCTGTTCTGTTTCCTCAAATTTTCGAACTCTTCGTTGGTCGACTGCAGTTTGCCTTGAGCCAATTCTAGTTTTTCCAAGGCTTTCATGTTGGGAGCCTGAATTTTGGTTAGGGTGTCTTGTAACGATTGGATGGCCTTGAGAAGCTTGTCCTCGCGTTTTTTTATTTCCTCCTTGGTCTCCAGGCATTTGTAGTCGTCGGAGAGTAGGCTGTAATCCAGCTGAATCCTGTAAATCCCCCCAAAATGTCCAATAAAATACTGATTTTCAGATTGGGTAAATTGTAAATTAAATAGCATAAAAATATCCATGTTTGGGTTACTGGATTAACTAAAAACTGGGATAATAATCTTTTTTATTTTAATTTTATAATTACCAAAAATAAAAAATGTTAGGACTATTGGATTACATGTAATTCATGTACATAAGCAAGTAATAAATGCTTGCAATCCTCATGGATTACATAAACACTGAAACAATTATCTACTTTATTTTTATTCTATAAATAGCAAGACTAAAAGGTGTTTTGTAACCACTTTTGACAACTGGATTACATGTAATCCATAAATTAATAATACTAATAAACTTCTACAAACAATAGCCACAAAACACATAACTCCAGTAATCCATGCATGTAATCCGGTAATCCATACATGGATTACTGGATTACATGTGGATTACACAAAAAACTGAAATAAATATTGTGCTCTATTTAAATTTAATAAGAATTATTATTTTTGAAAGATGTACAAAAAAATAAATATTTTTTAATACTGATAAAAAATTTTAGCTAGTTTTTATTTATTATAAGTACCTTGCTTCCTTTTCGTACTGTTGTATGGTACTATTTGTATCGCTTGATGAAGACTGAGATGAAGGATCAGCTGCAACGATATCCTCAATATTTCCCACCAACATGGGTATAGCAATATCGTCCATCTAAAAATACCAAAAAATTATATAAAATAACTCCAAAATTACAAAAAAAAAGAAAATTCTTACTTTGCATTGCATTAAAATGTTGTGCCTGTCACCTTTCAAGCTCTCGATTTTAGATTCTATGGATACAATGCCTTTTTGGATGGCTTGAGCTTCCTTGGCTACAGCAGTCACACCTTTTCTGGCTTTGGCTATTTTGGGAAAAATATATTTGTTCATATACAGGTTGATGTACAAGAAAAAAAGCAAAAACACCAAATTTTAAGAATACCATTGTCAATTTGTGCTATACATCTAAAAAATGACAGAAAATACAATTATCTATGAATAAAAATGACAGAAAACACACTGTCACTGTTCAGTATCCTCTTGTTAGGCCAATCTATACTTAGTTATTACAGTATTTAACAGTATCCCCATTAAAGTTGGTCTCTAGTTGTTTGATGATCTGAGATTTCGAATTAGTTCAAATGTACCGTAATGCAAACTTACCTCAGACAAATAAATGTTAATTTTAAGGGTAAAAAAAAGAAACTTACTGACTTCTTCCTCCATTTTTTCAACTTCTTTCTTTTTAGCCGCCTTGCGCTCCTGTAACTCATCCAAATTTTCCCTCTCTTTCTGGATATCTTCGTGCTGCTTCTTCTCCTGCTTTTTTGCCGTTTCCAGCTTTTCTTCCTCGTCATTCACGGTTCTTTCCCACCGACTGACGTTGCTCTGCGTGTCTCTGCTCTTCTCAAAGTCCAAATTGCTAAAAATTCGATTTATTTGCTTCTGGAACTCCAGACGTTTCTGTTTTCGCTCTTCCTGAGCGCGCAGCTCGCGATCCTCATACTGTCTGATATTTTTGACACCTTGAAAAAAGAAATTTTCATACACGTAATCCAGAAAATTTGTGTATGAAACTCGGTAATCAATGTACGGATTATTAGATTACTTACATATATAGATCATGTAAATCGGTAATCCACATATGTAATCCGTTTCGTTGTACGGATTACTGGATTACATACATGGATTACACTGCAGAACAAGATAAAAATCATACCGATTTCCCTGCAGAAGTCCGAAAAAACGTCGTCCTCTACGGTATTCATCCTCAGTTTGATTTCTTCGATTTGCTGTTCTCTCGTTTGCATACTTTTCTCAATCGCCTGAATTTCAGGGCCGTATCGTTTCATTTCTTCATCCAGGGAGGCTATTTCCTTCTCAACGGCCTTTATTTGTTTTTTCTAGAACACCGAAAAAGACGAAAATAAGCGTAAAAATCAACTTAATAAAGTTTTAAGACTTACAGTGCTTTCCATATCGCCTTTGGCGTATCTTAATCGGGTTTCCAGGCCTCTGATTTGAGAGTCTACGGTGTTCATCTCAGATTCTTGACGTGATTTCTTCATCGCTTCCCTTAATTCATTAGTTAGTTTTTCCTGAAAAAAATTATTAGTCAAAAAAAGCCTAGGAAACGAAAATTATTACATACTTTCTGTGCTTTCAGTTGAGACACGTGTTTTTCGTCCCATCTTTTGGCCTTCCTTGCCAAATCCAAACTACCTCCTGATATGATGCCGGATTTTTGATAGTAGGTACCGTCAAGGGCTACAGCCTAGGATATTACAGAAAAAAATAAGAGTAGTACAAATAAAATCATTGATAATAGTTTTCAAAGACCATAACACCTCTAGACGCTTCTCTGACTCAGATTTATGAAGTTAACATCATAATTAACGTATAAGCTTAACTACTTTAAGGATTATTAACAGTAGTTCAAAAAAATCCATTTATTTAAGACTATTACACCTCTAGTCACCTCTTTAACGCAGATTTATAAAGCTAGCATCACTATTTTAAATTAATTTAAAGTAAAAATATACTTACATCATATCTTCCTCCTAACTCATAGGCAACCTTGCTGGCATCTTCAGGGGATTCACACACCAAGGCGTTGTTAGTAGCGAACATGACAGCATTGGCTATGTCAGAAGGTTCAAATTGTAACACGTCATATATCAGTTTTACACCCTAAATCACATTTTTTAGTATAGTTTTGAAACAAAAATCAAAATTTATACAATTATACCTTTGGATCAGTAATATTACGCAGTCTTTCTTTGACAGGTTTTGTTTGTAGATATGTCAAAGGAAGAAACGTTTCTGGGTCTAACATCTGTTCTTTTAGGTATTTAATACACTGTCTCCCGGTGTGTTCAGTATCGACAACTATGGCTTCCATGTATTTACCCAATACTTTGGTAATGGCAACATTGTATCTTTTGTGGATTGGTTGACACATGTTTATCATACGATCATACTATGAGAAACGAAAAAAAAAAGGAATTAATAATGCAAGAATGGATGAATTCCATATTATTCTTGGATTACCTAATAAGATTGGATAACAATGTAATTTTAACAAGAAAATGTTTTTTAGTAATCACCTGTTTTTGACTAATGGATTACGTGTAATCCAAAAATAAATTAATATAAAGCAAAATTGGAAACATATAAATCAATAATCAATGTATGTAATCCAGTAATCCGTGTAATCCAGGTTAGGATTATTGGATTACATAAAAAACTAACATAAAAATTGACCTATAATTTACTTTAATCCATAACTTACCACTCCGCTATAATTTGACTTGAACCTCTCCACAATCTCCTGTTTCTTCCTTCTTCTTGTATCTTCGTGTTTGTCCGTCCTGGCATCGCCCAGCTGCTCCATAACGTCTTCCATCTGCTTCTGGATTTCGTGCACCAAATTTTTAGAAGATCCCACATCGGATTGCAGATCTTTCAGCATTTGTTTCTGATCATGCAAAGCTTGTTCACTCGACCTAATAAAAATGTACCGGATTACATGTCATTCAAAAATAAATTAATGAAAAATGATTGAATTTGAAACATACAGCTCAGTAATCCATGTATGAATTTCTGGATTACACACATGGATTACGTAAGAAACTGAAATAAATAATGCTATTTATTATCTGGAAACACAAACCAGTGATTATAAATACATATATAGTTTTGTAATCCATGCATGTAATCCGTGTAATCCATGTTAATGAATGTATGGATTATATAAAAACAATTAAAAAAAAAACAATTATATAAAAACAAGAACTCACTGAATATGGTCTGCCAACTTGGCTATTCTCTTTTCCATCTCTTCTTTTTCGTGGCACTTCTGTAAATGTTTGTTTTCCGCATCCGTTCTGAGTCTGGATACGTTATCCAGACGATCCTGATCGGCTTTCTGTTCCCTATTTACCGAGTCGAGTTCCTGCATGTATCTGGCTGATCTTTTAGCAGCTTCTTCTTTTAATCTGTGGTATTCTCTGACTTGTTCATCTTCCAAGTGCACATCCCTACCCTAAATAATAATAATTTTAAATATTTCACAGGAAATTAAAAAGGAGAATACATAATTTAGATTTTTTTTACCTGACTCTGTGATTCCCCAGCAATTTGGTCTTCATACTCAGCTTTAGCCTTTTCTACATCAGCCAGTTCTTTTTCTAGCTTTCTGATATCGTTCATGTGAGCTTCATGAGCGTTTTTAGCTTGTTCCAAAGTTTTATGAGCACTTTGTACCTTAAAAAAACCAAATTTAATATCCAAAACACGTTTTTGAAATTAATACCTTTTTATCCATATGAGTAACTCTTTCTTTGGTTTTAATAAACATTGGCTGTTTTTTTGACAATTCCACATCGACTTCGCGAATTTCTTGTTCAATTTTAGCAAGTTCTCTATAAAAATTGAAATAAAGGGAAAAAAATGTAATCCAAAAATAAATTAATAAAAAAATACTAAAATTACTATAGAAATAATTATACAGTAATCCATGTATGTAATCCAGTAACCCATGTAATCCAGGTATGGATTACTGGATTACTGAAAAAACTGAAATGAATAATACATGTCATCAAGGTTTGGATTACTGAATTACATACATGGATTTACACTGTAAAAAAATTGAAAAAAACATACCTGTTTAATTTTCCTTGTTCTTTCTTTTTTTCCTTCAAAAAATCTTCGTGTTTTCCTTTTTCTTTCTCAACTTTCTCCAGTTCTTTCTGTTTGGACTTCAGTTCCTGTTCTTTGTTCTTCATCGCTCTTTCATTATGAAATGCCCTGAATAGTTGATGTTCAACTAATTTATCATTCTAAAAAATTGGTAAATAAATTAAAAAACCTTAAAAAAATGTATAATAATTACCAGGTCATCTTTAAGTCGAGCATACTTGTCTGCTTCTTCTTTTTCCATCCTAGCTTCCTTTCTTTCAGCATTAATACCTTTTTTCTTTTGTAAAGCAAAGTTTATTTCTTCTTGCGCTTTTTGCATTTGTTGCTTTAGTTTGTCATATTCGTCTTTCAATGCTCCAGATCTAAAAAATGTCAAAAATATCATAACTTTGCCAAAATTAAGGAATTTTTAACACATACCCACTGATTTCTTCAAACAATGCTGTCATTTCTTTAGGATTCTTCATAGCAATTGATTCCACAGCTCCTTGGAACACCAAAAAGTTCTTTGCCTTGACATTAATCTTCAATCTCTCTAATTCACCCAAATAATCATTCAGAGTTACAATCTAAAAGTTTTTTTAGTATAAAATTGAATTTAAATTAAAAAAATATGTTTAAAATATTGTACCTACAAAATATGTAGCATTTTTTCAAAAGTAGGACTTTTATTTATGTACTAGCTTAACCAATACCACACTGCTTTCATGGTATTGTTCTGTGAAGCACAATATATAAAAAATAATAAAATTTTCATACTTACACTGCCATTTATTTTGTACTCAGATGATGATCCTTGTACAGATCGTTGAAATGATATTTCTTTATCTGGTTCGTCCAAACTAAAGACAGCAGTTACAGAAGCACTAAAAGTACAAAAAATTAACCTGAAAAAGTACTTATTATGATGTTTGTACCTTCTGGATACCGGTTTACTAATAGCAGCTCCATGAATTAAATCGCTTAACCTCTTGACTCTCAAACTTTGCGTTTTTTCGCCCATAACGAAACTGATAGCATCCATGAAATTTGATTTCCCTAATTACCAAAGAACAAACAGTTTATTTGTTATTCTGTACAGCTTTTATAGTCAAACAGATATTAGTTATGGACTAAAAACTATATACCTGAGCCATTGGGTCCAATTACTGCGTTAAAAGGCTTGAGGGGTCCTATAATTCGACGTCCTTTATATGACTTGAAGTTTTCCACTTCGATATGCTTTAATCTTGGAGACATTTTCAATTAAATGTTGTTTTAATTGAAAATTTTACCATTCAAAAATCGGCCGCTTTGTAAACACTAGAAAACAATATGGCGTGATTGAACAAATGTCAATGCTCTACTCTAAATGAACTACTAAAAATTACCATTTTGAAAAATCTTAAAAAACGCTTATAAAAATTATAAAAACAAAATATAAATTATTAAAAAAACATTAAAATGTTCATAGACAATAACCAGTTGTAGTTATAGGTAATATTTTAAATTTAAATAATATTTTAAGATCAAATAGTTCAAGTGACTTCAAAGCCAAAGTATGGTGTATGTTTAGTTGCCTATCAAAGTCCTTTATAATTTTTATAACCTAAGAAAAGTCTACATGTGTGTTGTTTTAATAAAAGTTATTAAAAATTTCATTTATTAAAGGAATATTCGGCTTATCTTTTGTGACAATGGGTCGCAGAAAACCAGGCTTTAGAAAAAATCATTATTTTACTCACCAACGAAACAGGGTAACTAAATTCTATAGTTTTAAAGTAAATAAACATTCAAAAATTTTACTTTTTAGGACAATACTAAGCCCCAAAATAGTACAGAGAGGAAACCTTACACAACTATCGTAAGAGAGAATGAGAAATTCGTACAGTATTATGAGGTAAGGTTTAAAATCTCAACAATTATAATATTTAAAATTTTTTCATTTAATTTTAGACGCAGAATGTATGTAGCACCAAGGAAGAGTTCGATAATTTCATATCAGTTATGAAAACAGATCTACCATCGACTTTCAGGATTACCGGCTCTAAAGGAGTGGCTAGAAAGATGCTTGAGCTTGTTGAAGATCAGCTTATCAAAGATTGTGTCCAACAAGAAGGTTCCGAAAAGCCTCCAAACATATTTGCCCTTCCATGGTACCTTGAAAAGACTTATTTGACTTATTTTAATATTACTTTATCTAATTTTTATACAGGTATCCAGAAAAATTAGCTTGGCAGTTAGAATTAACCAGGAAAGACATAAGAAGCTGCGAAGCTTATTACAAACTGCACAATTTCCTGATTTCTGAAACAGAACATGGCACTATTTCTAGACAAGAAACCGTTAGTATGATTCCTCCTTTAGTCCTGGATGTTCAGCCACATCATAAGGTAATTAATTACGTATAATTATTACAATTTATTATACAAAAATTAAAAAAAAATAGATTTTGGACATGTGTGCAGCTCCAGGCTCTAAAACAGCTCAACTCTTGGAACTGCTTCATAAAAATGACGATGCAATTCCATCAGGTTACGTAGTTGCTAACGATGTGGATAATAAGAGATGCTACATGCTGGTACATCAAGCAAAAAGGTTGAATTCTCCTTGTGTTGCTGTCATTAATCATGACAGTGCCATGTTGCCTAATATGTTTGAGACTTTAGCAGATGGATCAAGTCAACAGGTAAGAATTGACATTTGTTTTGATCCGGTAATCCATATATGTAATCCGGTAATCCATGTATGTAATCCGGTAATCCATGTTTGGGTTACTGGATTACAAAAGATGCTGAGTTCAAAACCGTTTTAATTTATTTTAATTTTATTTTATCAGTAATCCATTATCCCATACTATTAGGCTTTAACTCCTATCATATTTTTAAAAATATATACACTTTCGTTAGATTCAGTTTGACAGAATATTATGTGATGTTCCATGTTCTGGTGACGGTACACTGAGAAAGAATCCAGATATTTGGACGAAATGGACACCAGCCAATGCTTTGAACCTTCATGGGTAATTCTTGCTATTAAATAACTTTAAATTGACATTTAATATCATTTTTTTTGATAGAATTCAGTACAGAATTTTGAGAAGAGGTGCAGAACTGTTGACTATAGGTGGAAGAATAGTGTATTCAACCTGTTCAATCAATCCTGTTGAAAATGAAGCTGTTATTCACAGACTGTTAGCTGATAGTGATGGTGCATTGGAACTACTTGATGTTAGTAGTTCTTTGCCTGGACTAGTCTATTCTAAAGGTACTGTAAGTTGTTTTTTATATATTTGTATAATTATTAAAAGATATTAGGAATGGAGTACTGGCAAGTTTCAAGCAGGAACCTTGAATTTTATAATAGTTTTGAGGAAGTAGATGAAAAATGGAGGACTACAATAAGACCTCAGATGTTTCCTCCTGATCAAGAAGTTAAAGAGAAATTTAATCTAAACAGATGGTATATTTGCATTATATTAAGTTATTTTTTGAAATATATTTCTTGTTTTTTAGTATCAGAATTTTGCCACATCAGCAAAATACTGGAGCATTTTTTGTGGCAGTTTTACAGAAAGTTAAAGCTTTTACAGCTAAAGAGAAGAAGTTTGAGAATGAAAAACAGGAATCTGATAATGAATCTAAGAAGAGAGATTTTGATGAAAGGTATTTTTGAATTTTTATTTTTTTTTATATGTTTTACTGATTTTTTTTCTTTCAGATTACCTGAAAATCAGAGAAAACGTAGACGTAAAGACGTTTACAGAGAAGATCCCTACGTTTTCTTCAAAGAAGATGAGCCTGTATGGAAAGATATCCAGTCTTTCTACAACATTTCTGACAAATTTGAGGCTCAATGTCTATTGACACGTTGTCATGAAGGAAAAAAGAAGAATATTTATCTGACGTCATCAGGAATTCGCGATTTAGTCGTGACAAATCAGTCTAATATCAAATTCATCAACACTGGAGTCAAGGCTTTTGTCAGATGCGACAATAAGAATATGAAATGTGCATTTAGGTATTTTTATTTTTAATTAATTATTTTATGTTACTATTATAATTTTATTTTACTCAGAATAGCAAACGACGGCCTAGAAAGCATATACCCGTACATAGGCGAATCCAGAAAAGTCAACATACCCAAAGAAGATTTAATGGCCTTGCTGACAAATAACGATCCTCAGCATTCGCCGGCCATCACAAGCCTGTCAGAATCGATACAGGAACAAGTCAAAGATTTGAGTAAGTACCAGAAGAGCGGAGAATAGTTCTTATGTCTCAAAATGACGTTTTCAGTAGAGTAGTTCATATGTCCCAATAGGATTTTTCTTAACATAGTAGTCCGTGTGTCCCAAAATTGATTTTTCAACCGATTAGTTCAGATGTCCTAAGAGAAGTGTCTTAACAAAGTTGTTCGTATACTTTAAAATAATTTTTCCAACCGAGTAGTTTATATGTCCCAAGATATTTCTTAAAAAGTAGTTCATATGCCCCAAAATTATTCTCCTAACCGAGTAGTTAATATGTCCCAGTAGTACTTTCATGGCAGAGTAGTTCATATGCTCGAAGATTGTTTTCTTAGGAGTAGTTCATATGTAGCAAGACGGTTTTTCTTATAATTTCTTATTTTTTTAGGTCCGGGAAGTTGTATTTTGATTTATACTGAAGAAGTGAAGGGCAGTAGTGATCCTATGGTTATCCACATCAGTGGATGGAGGGGTACTACCTCTTTGAGGTGTTACACCACTCAGCATAGTACTGTGCATCTTTTGAGGCTCTTGGGAGGCGATATATCGAAATATGGTAATGCAGAATTATTATTATTTTTTTAAATTTATTTCTCTTATTTTGTGTATTTTTTTTATCTGTAGAAGTTAGTAAATTTAAAAAAGCTGAAGAAGATTCAAAGCCTGAAGAAACGGAAGCTGTTAAAGAAGATGAAGCAAAGGAGGTTGAAAATTAAAACTCTTAAAAAGGTTAGTAGAAATATTTTATTTCCAGGAAATTTTTAAGTTTATTTTTTTCGTGCAAGTAAAATTATTCAGTTTTTTCTCTTATCTTAAACGTGAATGCCTTCTTTCTGTTATTTTTATTTCACCTTACAGGTTTTTCACAGCCATTCTTTAATGTTTTTTTTTCTGGTTTAAAACAAAGCCAGTATTACTTAGATTTTAATTTTACTTGCAGATGAGATGAAAATTTGTGCTTTTACTGTAAAATTAAATTATTATAAAAAGTGTTTATGCGTTAATTTTAAATTGTATAGTCAGTTCTGGTGTTTAATTATGTTTAAATAAAATAAAACAAAAATAGAAGCTTTTTTAATTAGGTATTGAAAAATTTAACTACGTAGGTACTATAACAGATTTCAATAATTCTGTACAGAATATTTTGTACAAGCCATGTTTTCAACAATAAGATTTTTATAAATGTTATTCTACATAATAAAAAAAGTATCTTAGAGATATTTTTTTAATTAATATTGCACATAAATTGCACCATATAAGTTTCCAATCTATACAGGGTGATCAGGTTTCTGTGAATTACTCCTTGTATAGATTTTCTAAAGAATATAAGCAAATTCGTCTTTTTTTGAATAAGAAAAAGATTGTAGCAAATACATCGTGCGATTTAGAAAAATAATTACATATTTATTTTCTTAATTAACTATAAATTTAAAAGTTAAAGTTGAATTTTGACTTGCTTAAGATTATTTGCTAGCTTCACTCTGGCATTTTTTTGACACACTTTGTCACCTGTCATGAGGTGATTTTTCCAGCATACGTCGGTGATGTCCAGGTCTTCCTGGCACAGAGGACACCTGGTACATCCGTCGGGCAATTCTGGAAATATACCGGGCGAAACAATTAAAAAAACCGAGCATATTGAAAGAACTTTGTCTTTTAAACACTTACCAATACAATTGGCCAAATGCGATTGATATTTCTCTTTGTTTACAGCCACGCTGCACTTGGTACACTGCAAAAACCGTTCTTTTTGCTCGCATTCAGATACCAAGTGTTCAGTTAATCCTGCCACTTCCACCACCTGACTGCACAGCTTGCACCTGACCAGCATGGGGCAGGACCTCCAGTAATGTGAGTTCATTGAGTTGCTCATGAGCAAAATCGTTTTTTCTGACTGGTTGCAGAAGATACAGTGTCTGAAAAATATATTGTTCTTAAAAGTAAAGTGTTAAAATATTAATATTTTGGTTAAAATAAATTAAATGTTTTATACAGTTAGTTACAGATGTAATTTAATAAAGATATGCTATGGGATACCTAAAAATAGTGTTTTATTTCTAGTATTACACAGAGTAATTAAAAAAAACTTAATTGGTTTTACTGAGCCACCATTTGCCATCACGAACCTGTCAGAATCGATACAGGAACACGTAAAATTTTGAGAAAGTCCCAGAGGAGGAGAGTAGTTTATATGTCCCAAAATAAGATTTAAATATAATAGTTCATATGTTCCAAGATGATTTTCTTAAGAATAGTTTATACATCCCTAACGGATTTCTTAACAGAATTAGTTCGACTGTACCAAGAGTATATTCTTAGCATGGTAGTTCATACGTCGCAAAATAACGTTTAAATATAGTAGTTCATATGTCTCAAGATGATTTTCTTAAAAATAGTTCGTATAACCCAAACGGATTCCTTAATATAATAGTTCGACTGCACCAAGAGTATTTTCTTAGCATGGTAGTTTATATGTCCCAAAATAATGTTTTAATATAGTAGTTTATATGTCCCAAGCTGTTTTTCTTAAGAATAGTTCGTATAACCCAAACGGATTTCTTAAGAGAATAGTTCGAATGTACCAAGAATATTTTATTAGCATGGTAGTTTATATGTCCCAAAATAAATCTCTTGAAATGGTAGTTCATATGTCCTAAGATGACTTTTTATTTCTTACCTTTCGTCATCTTCCTTAGAGTTGTTACTTGGTGTGGACACTCCACTAGCCGAACTAACACTTCTTCTTTCATTGTCACCCTTAACATGTCCATTGGTTTGTCCAATATTTCCCCCACTCAGGCTTTTAGCCAAGGGATAGTTCGTTTTGTTGTTAGCTTCATTATTAACGAAATTATTGGCCAGAGTTTCCAAATTGTTGGAACTGATACACTTGCTGATCTCGCTGCGGGATTCGCACACTGGTTCCGGACTGAAACAGTCAGAGTTCGAGTTTGCTGAGCATTGCTGAATCAGTCTGTTCTTTTCTAGAGCCTCTTTTTTTCTCTGGAACACAAGAAATTAAAAAAAATGGATCAATTCATTCAGTAATGATTCTCGTTGAATAAAAAACTCTTTTTTTATTCTCCATCTATTAAAAAAATAATATACAGGGTGTTCAATTTAAAAAAAAAGCAAAGAAAAATTATTTTAGAAAGTTTGGCGTAGAATTTTGAACATCCTGTATGATTTAAGATTACGATATTTATAGCAAAGTAAGTATAGACCATCTAAAGTAAATACCTAATATAGTTTTCATTTCAGAATATTGTATTTGTAATATTTTTTTATTTATTTATTAATATCTCTAAAATTATCGAAATATATTTACTCATATCTTAGAATTATGTAAAGTGATCTGAAAGGAAGCCAAAAATGCAATAATATACAGGGTGTTTCATTATAAAAATATCATCCCGATCCTTTCACACTTTTTTGAGCCACCCTGTAGAAGATAAAATATTTTCCTAAAATACATCCTAGTACGTACTTTAGGTTCGCACTTAAACAAAATTCCCAAGTTTTTATTCTAGGAGCTACACAGATGACCGACGCACTTTTGCCGGACCCTGTATAGCATTACATACGAATATATGAGACTGTAAGTTACATGAAATTTGTATAAATCTGCAGAGTGAGCATTATTACATTACATTTTAATTATTATATTTTTTAATTACTATTGATAATTAATTATAATCAATTAAATATGATTCATTTAAAAAAAAACGTTTAAATTCAACAAAAATAAATTTAAAAAATCAAATTTTAATAATAAGTTACTTCTATGATCTGAATCAAGCTTTAAATTATTGAAAAAATTAGTCTAGAATCGACTTTAGCCCTTCGTTTCTCTACAAAGCGGTAGGCTCTGTGTGGGAAAATTTGAAAAGTTAGCCATGGATTGCCAATTGTCAATAAAAATAACAAACAACGAAAAAGTTCTTGGTTCTTGCGAATAACAATTATTATTTTTGTTAAATATATGTTCGAATTATTTTGTGTATGTGTGTAAAAACGTGGTATTTATATTTAAAACATTGTTTGATTTGTGTTACACAGTGGACTTTTAGCTGTAAAGTGCCTGGCCTGATGTGAGCCTAAGGTGAGCCTTAATGTAAGTACTACCTTGATTTGAGTCATATTGCATGTTTCTTATTTTTCTTCAAACCGCCATTTGTGGTATATTTGAAGTATACTATTTTATATAGAAACATTAATACAAAATTGCTTAAGCAGTAGTACCAACAATTGAGGTACCTATACTTATCAAATAATACATAAATTAGCTGAGACATTATCAAGATGAGTTTTTTTGATACTTATTGTACCTGAAGCTATTTTTTAGTTTCTGTTTTGTGGGTGTTTATGGTATCTATCTACATATCTATACTAATATATAAAATCCAAATAAAATCCTTAAGTGACTGACCTACTGATTAATCACGATCCTGCTCAAACCACTCAACGTAAGAAGCTCAATTTTGGCATACAGGTTGATTCTAGATTGTAGAGGTTCGATTAGAAGACAGTTTTAGAAATTCCAGTTCAAGAGGGTGAAACCACCCCTCAAATATTACAATATTTTTTAATTAAAAAGTTGGTCAAGTTTCCGAACAAAACGCAGGAAATATTTAATTTTTTTTTTTTACATATTTTAAGATTTTTCAAAAATGTATACAAACTTTTTCGAAAAATGAAAAAATGCATTGATTAATCACGATCCTGCTTAAAGCGCTTGACGTAAAAGCTGATTTTTGGAAAACGGATTGACTTTAGGGTGTAGAGGTTCGATAAGAAGGGATTTTTCGAAACTCGAATTCTAAGGGGGTGAAACCACCCCTCAAATATTAGAATATTTTTTATTTAAAAACCGGTGAGTTTTTCGGAAAAAAACACGTATAGAAGACTAATTAAAGTCTTTTGGGAAAACGCTTGGACACGCATAATTTATTTTGTTTTTTACATATTTTGAAATTTTTTAAAAAATCATACAGGGTGTTCCAAAAGTTGGGTAATTGATTAACCACGATTTTGTTTAAACTGCTTGACGTAAAGAGCTTATTTTTGGCAAACGGATTTTTCGAAACTACTCCTCAAGTATTGCCAAGTTATATAATAATATCGCCATATTGTTTTTTTCTCATGCTGACATAAATGTGAGAAAATTTTATCCAGTTTGTATGTTAATGGAAATTCTTGCTTTGCTATATCATCATGTAATCATCACCATGACAAATGATTAATTCGATGCAAACAAAGTCGCGGGTACACGCTAGTAATAATTATATTATAAATTTTTCGTATACTGGGTATTTAAATACGTCTATTTGTTGTTTACGATATTTTCCGATGGTGGCAGCACCGGCTTGTAGACCCCTATATTTTATTGGAAATAATTGATGTCTTCTGCAAACCTGTGATATATATTTTTGATAAAAACTTACTTCCAAATCTATGCTATCGAACTCATGAAACAACTGTCGGTATAACAGATTCCTTCTCGTGATATCGTCATCAGGAGGTAGCTGTTTCCTCACCATTCTAGGATTAACTTTATACACTAAAACCAGAATTCTTTCTGACACCTTTCTGACAGCTTCTGCAGGGTGATGCAGTCCGCTAGATCCGAATTCTGACAGAGTTCTACACGTTAAACCGCTAAAATATTTCCAAAAAAGTTATTTCACACAAAAAGATTCAAGTTTTCAAAGTTTAGTATTAAATTAGTTACAAACATGTTGTATTAAGTGTATTTTTATTATTCTTTTTTACCTTTGTTTATCTGTCGATATCCCGTGACTTAAAATTAACTGTTCCACCATTTCTGCCCTACTGAGAGCTAATCTAGGATGAGTACTGCTACTTACAGGTCTACTCAAATGAACAGGTATTATATGTAGATCTCTAAAAAATATATGCGATTTTTTTAGCCACTAACGCCTACTACAACTCCCAGAAAAATAAGTACACATAGATGGGCAATCAATAGTTTTAGACACCATCTATATTTACTTATTTTTCTGGGACACTAATAATATGATCGGCTATTAATGTTTATATATTTTTTTTCTAACAAAAAAAGAATGATTTCTATATCTACTTGATTTTTTTTGCGGCTAGATCATGCAGAAAATGATTTTTAAAAAAATTACCTGACACTTTTAACATCAGCCATTGTCAGTATGGTATGGACGGCCATATGGTGAATTCTGGCACTTGTATCACCGGATTTTGTTAGTAGTTCTGGCAGTAATTTGTCTACACTCCTCGATACTTCCGCAGGAACCACTCTACAGTTATATTATAATATTAACTCATTGTCTACACTTCATTGTCACTAATGTATACGTACCTTCCAGGTACGAATTGGACAAAAAACAGCCTTATAACCTCGTTGGCCAGATTGTACACTGAAAAAACTTTATCCCTCAAGGCCCTGTGCAACAAAAAAATTGCAGCTCTTGCGGTTTTGTTGGGTGTGTGCATTTTAGTGGCGTCGTAGCACAGTAGTTCCTCTTTGAGTCTTCTCAAGCCTTCTTCCTTGTCTGTATAGTGTTTTGAGTAGAATTTCTCCACTAGATCAGTACCAAAAACCAGAATAGGTAAGCTAGCTTGCTTCTTTTCTCTTTCTGTCAGTTTCGAGGTGGTTTTTTGGTCTGGTTCCAGGTGGCATTCGCGTAGGAATTCGTTAGTTTGAGAACTGCAACAGAAAATTATATAGTTATCATAAAATATATTAAAATCTAAGTTTTTTAAGTATATGTGTATAGGTTAATTTAGAGCATTTTTTTAAAAACAAGTTACATATCAAAGTTGCGTTTTTTGTAATGGAACACCCTATATATTAACTGATTTTCGGATTCTAGAAAAAAAAAAATTAAGGTGAGTTTTATTAGAGAAGCATACAGGTATACAGGGTGGCCTTTAAGTTGATTTAAAATAGATAGGTAAAAGAATAACAGCGGGAAAGTATAGAGAATAGAAAGCTCTTTTCATTGCGGTACCACTTGACCCCCCTTCCTATTTGAAAAAAATTGGGGGATGACACCCCCGCTTAGAGGGTTGAAGATTTTGCAATCATTTTTGGGGCAAAAGTTGTCCCCCTCACAAACAAAATTGACGTGTTTTTGAATTTTCTGAAAAAAATTACCCTGGCCGTTATGCCTTGCGGAACGTTTTCGATGGGCCACCCTGTATGACTAATATGTAGGGTTTTTGACATATTTAACATTTTCTAAAAATGAAATTATAAATTTCAATAAAATATACCTGAATTGTAATTTACCCTGTATAGCCTGATATATAATTAAAATAATCATTGAACATTAAACCAAATTAAAATTGACTCAAAAAATTGTACAGGGTGAGACGAAATTAATATTGAATATTGGTAATTTTTTAAAGCAAGTTACTGTTTTATTTTAAATGGAACACCCAATATATTGTTCCGATATTCAATAGAGAATTCATGTCTCCCTGTATATTTTTTCCTATCGTCCATTTGTGACAAAACACCTGGAATTTTTCAGGAAATGAAGTTTCTAGAAACTATAAACAACAATGTTTACAAATAAAATACATTTCACACTCACTGTCTCAATGCAGGCAACGGTTTTTCCTCATACATCTCAAACGTAGACTTAGCTGCAGCCCCAGCTGACTTGTTTCTTCTCCTGAAAGATCCCCTGCTAGGCGTAGGACTCCCTGTACAAGGGGACCCCATTTTAGGGCTCTGGTGCCTCGGTATATGCATGGGGGAAGCTTGTTGAAGCATATGCGTTTGATTGGGTGAGCTTGATCTTCGGTCTGATCGCATTATGATCGGAGACAACAAGTGTTTGTTGTTATCTGGTTCTTCAAGGCATTCGTCATTTTTTGGGCAAGCCTGGATAAGAAAAAATCAACGAAAAGTAAGTCTAAATTATTTTTTAATATCTAGTCAATACAACAGAATAAGTATGATCTTTCAAATTAATCGTGAATCTGAAATGTTTCTGGACAGCTCTATATAATATACAGGATGATTTTTGCCACCTTATTTACAAACACTGCATTTTATTTGCTTGTACCATATGGTCGAAAAAAAAACGGCGTCAAAGACGGCTGAGAAATGACAATCGATGATAATTTTGGTAAGGTCAAGCCCTAGACGTAATTTATGCCCTTAAGAAGGTAAAATAGATGTTACTTTCTGTAACTAGTGTTAACTTTTGACAACTCTTTTATGTCAGTTTTTACTAAACGAAGTCTAGAGATTGACCTCGGCAAAACTATCATTCCCCAGCCGTCTTTGACGCTGTTTTTTTTCAATGGTATGGTCCTTACTCCACTGGTTTCTAATAATTCTTCTATAGCTAGTTCTTGGAAAGTTTCCTTTCTGAATTGTTCGATTTGATTCTTTTTGCGCATGGCTCTTTCGTAGTCTTCCATTTCGATGGCGTGACGTTTTTCCAGCTCATATTTTCCGAGTTTTTCACCGGCAGATCTAAGCATAAGCATGGCGTGCTTTAGTTTTCTTGCATATTCGAATCTTTCGTCTGAAAATCGACGTAAAAATATGAATTAACAAAAGAGAAATTAATTTTATTGGTGAATCTGTAATAGAGGAATAAAACTATACAGGGTGTCTCATAAATAAGTAGCTAATCAACCGGCTTGACATCGACAAGACATTGAAATTATACAATTAAGTTGATTTAAAATAGATAGGTAAGAGAATTTGCAAATTTTTTTTTGTAGTTTCCATAGTTTCCAACGGCCATTGTCATACTATTGTCAAATTCTCAAAAAATATTGTTGTTGTCATAGCGCCATCATAGTGCCAATATGGAGCCAATCATAATATCATCAATATATAAACGTTTTTCAAACTATAATTTGTTATATGTGTTTTAATTAGACAATTCCTTTTGTTTGTGGCCCTAAAAATATAATGTAAGTCTTTTATTTTTGTCATTTAAGTACCTATTTATATTTACTCCATTTACAAAACTTTGGGCGTATTACGTTGGTCTTGTTTTATTATAATAAACGATGTTTAAATATTTGATTTATAAATAAAAACTTTAAATACTAAATAATATTTACACATGTTTGGCTTTAATTTTATTTAATATTAATTGTATAAATTATACTGTTAAATCTTATTTTTTACACATCACAACGATACTTGTTATTAGCATTGTTGAATTTGTGTAAAAAATAAGATTTAATAATCAAATTTAATTATATATATATTTTAGAGTAAAATTCAATAAATACGCTCATTTAAAAAGCCCGCGCTTCGATCCATTTAAAACAAGCCCTACTCAATAGATGGCGCCACTTCTGTAGGACCATTTTTCAGTATGGCAGAGTCCATTCTTTTTCCAGCTAGGTATATTCTTTGATTTACTTATTTCGTTTTGAGCCATTTCTGGCTCCAATTCAATCAGCAATCGACACGAAAGAGAATTAAAAAATATTGACTCAAAATTGACAACTAAAGAGACAGCTTTATTTATTTGTCAAATTACATAGAAACCAACGCCAACCCAGCACAATATTTTTCTACTCGTAATAAATTCTTTAAAATAATAATTGCTGAATATTTTTTAAAACGTAACTCGCTATGGAAAAAAATATTGTTTTATACACGACGATAAAATTGCATTATCGTCTCCCGAAATTAATTCACTCGCGATAAAATACCATTTTATCGTCTTGTATAAAAAATAACGATTAATTTAGTTGAAAATAAGTGTAAAAATCTATTAGTGTGTATTTAAAAAGATGTATAGTGTGTTGTAGTCTACAACCATTCGTGCTGTAAACTTTGGTACGACTGATAGCCGAGATGAAGACTTGTGTCTAGCCCTAGCAGGCAACTATTAAGCCCGACCACTCACGTTAGAGTTTTTGACAAACACAAATGAATTAACACCCTTCAAATAACCACGCTAACCAACCTGATTCGTCAAGCTTAAAAGTTGACTGCTAGGGCTAGACACTTCTAGATGAAGAAGTAACCTCTGTAAAACCGTCTGAGATACTGGTTTTTGTCAAAGCCTTGAGCCTGTAAGATGAGTAAAGGAGGACTCAATTTCTTTAGTAAGTGTTGTAGATGTTTAGTTGAAATCTTTGCAAAATATGATTTAAAATTGACTATCATGTTTTTGGGATCATTTTTTACTATTTACACCTCTCTATTAGTTTTAAATCTATGGTAAAATCGTACTTATGACTGCTAGGTATTTCTTGAGTTCCATTTCTCTGATAACTTCTGCTATATCGGTCGCTACATACATTTCGAAAGCTAGATCATCGTAGGGTGAGATATATTCAGGATTATTGAGGATTTCTTGTAGTTTTACCAACTGTGGATCTTTAGTTTGGGTCTCTGGGGTTTTTTGATTGATTTCCGAACCTATCACGTTAATAGCTATTACGCTGACCTAGAAATAAAGATAGATTTTTGTTCAATCAATTAATATCTATTATTTATTATTAGAAAAAATAAAACTCGATGTTTAAAGTCATTGATATGTATGAAAATGATAGTCCAAAGGTATATGGATATAAAGAAATGTATACTTTCTACAAATTTTAGTTGTTTGAAACTTTTATGAATGTTTTCAACGGTTAGAAAAAGTGGTATTCTTTTTTAAAGCTCTCATAAAGTTTGGTTAATATACCGTATGATCGAATAAAAACGGCGTCAGCGATGGCTATGAAATGACGATCGATGACATTTCCCATAAAATTTTACATATAAATTGACAGCGATCTTCATTTCATAGCCATCGCTGACGCCGTTTTTATTAGATCATACGGTATTTATTATCTATACCAACATATAAAATCCTTAAGTGACTCACTGATTAATCACGATCCTGCTCAAACCACTCAACGTAAGAAGCTCAATTTTGGCATATAGGTTGATTCTAGGGTGTAGAGGTTCGATAAGAAGGGATTTTTCGAAATTCCAGTTCCAAGGGGGTGAAACCACCCCTCAAATATTACAATATTTTTTATTTAAAAAACGGTCAAGTTTCCGAAAAAAACGCTTAAACACATATATTTTATTTTGTTTTTTATATATTTTAAGACTTTTTAAAAATGTATACAGGGTATTTCGAAAAATCTGGTCATTTATTAATCATGATCCTGCTTAAAGAGCTTGACGTAAAAAGCTGATTTTTTGAAAACGGATTGACTTTAGAGTGTAGAGGTTCGGTAAGAAGGGATTTTTTGAAACTCGAATTCCAAGAGGGTGAAAACGCCCCTCAAATATTACAATATTTGTTATTTAAAAAACGGTAAGTCTTTCGGGAAAACGCTTGGACATGTATAATTTATTTTGTTTTTTTACATATTTTGAATATTTTTAAAAAGTCACACAGGGTGTTCCAAAAAGTTGGGTAATTGATTAACCACGATTCTACTTATACTGGCTTGATGTAAAAAGCTCATTTTTGGCAAACGGATTTTTCGAAAGTCAAATTCCAACGAGATGAAACTACCCCTCAAATATTACCAAGTTATATAATAATATCGACATATTTTTTTTTCTTGCTGACATAAAAGTGAGAAAATTTTATCCAGTTTGTATGTTAATAGAAATTCTTGCTTTGCTTTATCATCACCATTACAAATGATTAATTCGGCGCGAACGAAGTCGCGGGTACACGATAGTTAAAATATATTTTCATTATATGTCAGAGGCACTATAGAATGGTAGTACTCACTTGATTAAAGTGATTGAGAACATTCTCGTGATTTTCGTGAAGGTGTAGCTTGATATAGGTGGCTTCAATCTTAGGCACATTGGCTGATTTGAGTTCCCTGCTCTTGAATTCGGTACTATCATTGCTGGAAAGGTTTATATAACCGATGTAGTTCCAAGATATCTTCTCCAAGTCCAACTCTTTGTCCAGGTTTTCGTTGTTTGAGTACAACTGAATTTTGGAGGCTACATAAACGTGGAAAATATTGAATTATACAGGGTGGTGCCTCTCATACGACGAGGAGGCTCCAAGGAGAACGTCAGTTTATATGGAAATGAAATTTTGTGAGCATGTGTAGGTTAATTTAGAGAGTTTTACATAATATATTGTGCAGTGCGCATTTACCAATTAATAGAATGCTTAAATGCTCTTGATTTATCTAGTCTGGAATTTTTGTTTAGGTATTTGTTAAATACAGTGTTTGAAAAACACCACCAACTACTGTCGACAGCATGAGACAAAAGATTGTGGATGATTTTCGAAGGATAACGCTATATATGACTCTTAATATGACAATACCTCTTAAAAAGAGAATAATTTTTTGCAGTGAACAAGAAGGAACTCATTTTAAGCATTTGATTTCATCTGGTTAATTTTTGTCATTTAATTATACTTTTACATATCTTCTAGTTCTAATTCTGTAATAATTAAAATATGTTTCAAACGTGTACCTATTTATTACCTTTGAATATTTTATTCTAAATCCTTTATTTTTTGTTAAATTAACGTTTGACATATCATAATCGCTTAGATTTTAGCAAATAATAAAAATCTACTGACACTAACTCATAAAAATGAAAATATCTAGGAAAATTTTTGAATATCGGAAGAAATATAAATAAATAAATAAATAAATAAATAAATGCCTTTATTGTCAAAAAAATTTTCAATTTGTAGACAAAGGTAAACTAACAAACAAAGTAAAAAAAGAAGGTACACAAACAAACAAACAAAAGATAATACAAAACATTATACAAATAATATTGTCAGTCTTATTGTTAAAATAAACATTTATAAATGTTTATAATGTCAAAGAACAAAAAAATAAAAATAATATTCAAAAATATTTAGTTAGTTTATAGAAAATATCAATGACCTCTAAATAAATTCATTTCGATGTCATTAGTAAATATAGCAATAGCAAACATTAGACCAGTGTTTACAAGATCAAACTTGATTTTCAAAATATAATTCATTTACGGCGTAGAAAGCCTTGTCTAGTAAATAAGAGTTCAATGCTTTGCGAAATGAAAAAAGTGATGTTATGGATTTGATTTCAAATGGCAGGTGATTGTGCATTTTTTTAGAGTTGTATAATATTGAACTTTTAACTAACTCTGAGCGTGGGGTAGGTAGATAAAGATCTTGCTCCGCGTTCCAGAGTGGATAAGTATGAGATGGCCTTTCTTGAGAAGCTGATACATGTTTACGTATTAGGCAAACGGATTCAAATATAAATAAGGAAGGAAGAGTCAATATTTTTAATTTTTTAAAAAAGTCCCGGCAATGAGTTCTGCTGTTTAGTCCCAGTGAATATCCAACAGCTCTCTTCTGGAGCCTGAAAATGCGGTCAAATTGAGTCGCACAACACGTACCCCAGAATGGAAGAGCATACCTGAGGTGCGACTCAAAAAGTGCATAATAAACAGTTCTAGCCACTGACAAGTTAAGCTCCTTAGAAACAGACCTCAATGCAAAACAGGCAGAGCTCAATTTTTTCGACAAAGCTTCGATATGTATGTCCCATTTCAGAGAATTGTCCACAACAAGCCCCAAGAATTTTACAGATTTGACGACGTCAATGGTGGTGTTGTTAAGTACAAAAGGCTGCAACGAGTTTTTATACGACAAAGCTTTAGTTTTAGAAATGTTGAGACTCTGTTGAGGAGGTTCGAATCGCACCAAGATTTAATGATGATTAAGTCATTTGATACAATCCTATGAAGTGCCGTGATGTCCTTGTTGCTCCAAGTGAAGCTAGTGTCGTCCGCAAAAAGACATATTTTGCCACTGATGTTTATGTTAGCAATGAATAATATACTGGATGTTCTATTTAAAATAAAAGACTAACTCCCTCTTAAAAGTGACCAATGTTCAATATTAATTTTGTCTTACCCTGTATAACTTTTCGTGTCAAGTTTTAATTTGATTTAAAGTACAATGGTTAATTTAACTACACATTAGGCTATACCGGGTAAATTCCAATTTAGGTAGCCTTTATTGAAATTTGAAATTTATTCTTCGTTTTTAGAAAATGTTAAATATGTCAAAAACCTTACATTTTAGTTATATGCGTCTCTAATAAAACTCACCTTTATTTTTCTCTTAGAATCCGAAAATCAATTAATATATACGGTGTTCTATTAGTAAAAACACTAATTTGATGAGTAAGTTTTTTTGGACACCCTATAGAACTGTGTATATTTTTTAAAAATGCTCTAAATTAACTTAAATTAACACTCACAAAATTTCATTTTAATATAAACTGTGGTTCTCCTCGGAGCCTCCGTGTCGTATGAGTGAAGCCACCCTGTACTACGATTGTTTAAATTTTTTATATTAACTTAAAATTTCACTGACGTATTAGGTACTGGTGAGCCAAAATCTGGATCTTGTTCAAGGAGCACTTTCTTTCTAACTGCAGTACCACTTCCTGAGGGTACTGGCACTCTTTCTCCGACCTCCATCCCTTCACAGTCGGTCCATGCACGTTTAACTCGGACACCCTGTATCTTGAATCTTCGCCTAACAAAAAAAAATGAGATTTTTCTTCATTTACTTAAAATATTTTTTTATACTCACTGGAAGAATGGATAACAGTAAATTTGATTTTTTTGGGCATTTAAAAAATTTGAATATTGTTTTTACCGAAAAAACATCGAGAATATAAATGCGGTTATATCATTCAGTCGATGTAGAGAGTTCAAGGGGATGGAAATTAAGGAAAGTTGACGTTTTCCTTTATTGATTTTCCGGAGAGCGCGTGTATGGGAAATTCACAACGCCATCTAGGGTATAGAGTTTAGAGGTAAAGAAAATTTTCTCTAATTTCTTTGAAACTGAAAACGAATGTAACAATAAACTAAAAATTTAGAGATCGTCGTGAGAGAAATGATCAACTTTGCAAATAACAAATACCCTAATGTCTCTCTGGTACTAAGAGATTTTTTTTAGTAAAAAAATCCATTGAAGTTAATGATCTTGTCATAATTGCTAATAAATTCATTATTTTATTGCAGCACAACAAAAAAAAAGAAATTATATTGACTTTGATGTTTCATTTTGGTCCATTAGCGGTCGAAAGAAAAATAAATTGCCTGCCGGGGCAATAATCGACGTACCATCATTATTACAGCAATTCAGAAAGTACCGCGGCAATCTGGTTAATGTTACGTCGCTCTCGGAACCACTAAGGCCGAATGTTGCACGAAACAAACAGATTAAGGACCCAGGGTTGTACTCGAAATATTTCTTTTAATATTTATTTAACCCTTACGGTTGGTTCGTACCTTCATTATTAATACTAACCTTAGCCCATAGATAAAAGAAAATAATCTTCTATTAAGATAGATATGAAACTTAATAGTAAAATTTTGGGTCAAAGCGCCCCTCCGTGTTCTTAGTAGAGACTACGTTAACTAACCCAGCGCCTTCGCCTTTTCTGCTGTAAATATTTTTTATGTTTATATTTGATTTCAAAGGATTTAGTTTTAAAGTTACACTGATATATTAGTATATCAGAGTAACTTTAATAAAACATAAGAATATATATATATATTTTACAGTTTATTAAATATAAATTTTGACTACAAGGTAGAAAGTAAATCACAATATTTGGTAAAACTTATAAGTATACCATTTTTACGGTTAATAAATAATAAAACTATTTCTGACTATGATATTTAAAATTTAGATAGATAGAATATTAAAAAACATACCGGTATTTGCAGACGCAGGCTCAAATTCAAAAACCAAAATTTTTCCTGCGAAAATCGGGCTTTTTTCACAGAAAAGGTATTTTTTGATTTATCAACAATCATTGTCAAGTTGACAATATACAGGGTGTTTTCTAATTAGTCTAAAAAATTGTGGTGTGATTCCTCATGTGTTCTTAAAACAATTTTTATATAACCATTGGGTTTGTTTGTTAAAAACACGGTTTGGTATTTTGCTTAACATAAATGGTACACTACTGCTTTTTTAAAGAAAATATATTTTTTTCTTGACTGGCCATCCTTTTTCAACAAAATTGATCTTTGAGTTTTTCTTGTTCATCACACGGTTGTCGAGAAAAAAATAAATATACTTATTAAGAGCCCGCCTTAATTCGTTTTCTAACGATTTTTTATTTTTTAAATTAATTAGGAAACACCCTGTATATGCACAGGCAACCAAATAAACTAGTAACCTCTAAAAATTATTTTTTTTAACACTAGCGACATACCGTGTTTTTAGTGTGTACTAAATTATTTTATCAAAATTTCACCATATAAGTTTCCCGGTAATGCCTTAGCCTTTGCGTTGACCTGACAATGACTTAGAATAAATATATACAGGGTGGCCCATCGAAAACGTTCCGCAAGGCATAACAGCCAGAGTATTTTTTTTTCAAAAAATCCAAAAACACGTCAATTTTGTTTTGTGAGGGGGACAACTTTTTTCCCAAAAATGATTGCAAAATCTTCAACCTTCCAAGCGGGGGTGTCATCCCCCAACTTTTTTCACATGGGAAGGGGGGTCAAGTGGCGTCTCAATGAAAAGGGCTTTCTATTCTCTATATTTCCTCACTTCGTTTTTAAAAATCGGTCGAGTCGTTTTGAAAATATGAAAGATTGAAATTTGAAAAGTACTTTTTGCAAAAAACGCATAAATTGAATTAATTAAAAAAAAACTTGTCTTATTAATGAAGCAAATACTGAAAATGTTGCCCGTCAACCTCCATACAGTAAAACAAATTATTTTATATCCGTTCTAGAACATTCTGAAGAACTTGCGGGGTCATTTCGCGACAAACATCAATAATTCGTCTTCGCAGGTCTTGTAATGAGGCGGGTGGAGTGTTATACACTTTACTTTTTATGTGTCCCCATAGAAAAAAGTCTAAAGGTGTAAAGTCGGGTGACCGGGGAGGCTACTCAATTGCACCCCTTCGTCTTATCCACCGAACGGGAAAGTTATTGTTTAAATAATTACGCATATTTTGAGAGTAATGTGGAGGTGCACCGTCTTGTTGAAATATTAGTTCTGCTTCAACGTATCTAGGATTGTTCTCTATGATGTCAGTTAGGGCTGGGTCGATGGTATTTTCCAGTAAATCGAAGTACATGTCACCTGTTAGATTTCCAGGAAGAAAAAAAGGACTCACAATAGACCCACACTTTCAATTTCTGAGGGTTTTGTGTGTGCACCTCGTGAAAAACCCTGGGGTTGTCCTCAACCCAGTACCGACAATTGTGCCGATTAACTAAGTACGCTACGATTAAGTACGCTCTACCTAGCCTGATCGTTCAACCTTGTGGAAAGCGAAAAAATGCGTAAACATCTAGAAATAATAAGAAAAAACAGTACATTGGTCGAAGGAATTTATCCTTATCATTTACTCTGATAAATGTTTAAATAAACTTTTCAAATTTCAATCCTTCATATTTTCTCAATGACTCGACCGATTTTCAAAAACGAAGCGGGAAAGTATAGAGAATAGACAGCCCTTTTCATTGCGGTACCACTTGACCCCCCTTTCCATTTGAAAAAAATTGGGGGATGACACCCCCGCAATCTTCATTTCATAGCCATCGCTGACGCCGTTTTTTTTTCGATCATAGGTAGTACCATAGCATAACATAGTTACACTTCTAACATTCTCTGGAGGAACACTTCATGTATTTTTTTTATTTAAAAAAAGACTAAAGCCGGTACTGGGCTCAATAATAATCTGCGGAGGTCAGAGGGAGGTACCGGCACCGCCAAAGGCGCGCAACCTATCTTCTTGATGTCTTCATTAGGCCCCAACTCGAGGCACTTTCGTGGCCGAGTCAGACGCCAATCTGGCGGGTACCCACCTCGCGTATGCTGACTGGGCTTGTGTGTACCACCAGGCAGTAGTACCACTGAAGAGAAAAAATATGTTTTTTTTTCTGTTGTTTGAAAAAGCGGCAGGTGGAAGCCTGGACCGGAAATAAGGTGGTTCCACTTAATAAACTGAAGCCTCGAAAAAAATTGACCTTGTATAAGATTTTTTGGTACTTTACAATGATTCCGAAAATTTCAAAAAAATTAAATGCCGTCTTTATACACTTTAGTCTTTCAAAAATCATATTTTTTCCATAGCAACTGTTAAACGAGCAATGAAATCGCGAGTGAATTAATTTCGGGAGAACCAAACCAAACCAAATACCATTTTTTTTTTTTTTTTTTTTTTTAAAAACAATAATATTAAGCATCATGAACAATATGTTATCGTGGGGACTATAATAGAAAAGGAGAATGAAATTATTGGACGGCAACTTACAATAACAGTTAGCATGAAACATCTAAAAGTACAATTACCGTACACACTCAGTGTTTCTGCCCTTCCGGCTTCATTAATAAGGGAGGAATCAGCAACGTTGAACTAGCGATCCTGAAAAAAGAGAAAAAGGGAAGCAAACGAGGCACTAGGCACCATTTGCAACCTGGTTAAGAAGTAGCTCACAATTCGCAAGCGTTACTACCAAAAAAACCGCTGCGGAGGTTCTTCAACATACCTCGCCGCTATCACCTTGGCCCAGAGAAAACAATCAAATCAAAAGGAATGTTATCCGCTGGGGGACGTATAATTAATAAAAGAAGAATGTGAAATTATTGGCAAGCCTACATGTTAAGTATAGCCATGAAACATGGCTAAAATAACAACTATCCCGGTAGACACGTCAAGTCTTTCTTCATTCTGGCTTTATCAATACGGGAGGAATCTGCAACGATGAACTAGCGAGCCTGAAAAAAGGAACAAAAGGGGAGCAAAGCGAAGGCCACGTTAGGCGGACCATTTTGCAAACCTGGTTAAGCAAACGTATAGCTCACATATCGCGGCGTTACTACTACCAAAAACCCGCTGCGGAGGTACTTCAACATATACCTCGCCGCTATCACCTATAACCCGAGAGAAAACAATAACAAAAGATGTTATCGTAGAGACTATAATAAAAGAAGAATGAATTCCCTCAGACTTTGCAGACGATACGGTCCTTCTAGCGAAAAACGAGGAAGAGTTACTGCAGCTTCTAAAATTGGTTGAAGACGGAAGCGAGAAACTTGGACTTGAAATTCAAAAACAATTATGATTTATCGGGACAGCAAAACATAACAACAAACTTTTAGTCCTTAAGATTATACCTACCTATAATATATATATATAAATATATAATATTATTATATATAAATATATAATATTATTATATATAATATAATATATATAACTATATATATATATATACTATATATATAATATATATTATTAATATATTATCTACTAGTAATATATTACTATATATATATATATATATATAGTAGTATTATATATATTAGTGTATATATATTCTGGTCACTTATAAACAACACGGGATCTTTAGAAGGGGAAATAAGAAGAAGATGTGAAATGACAAGCGTGGCAGTGAACTCTCAAAGATTACGAGACAAAACATATCGTAAGACACTTAAGAAAAAAAGGCTTGTTCGCTGGCACTGAGTATTTCCTATATTTTAATGTATGGCTCGAGTCCTGGACGATGAGGCAGTCAGAAATGAAAAAAATTCTCGACGCAACTAGATCTGTACTGTTGGCGGACGAATGCTTTCGGAAATTCCTGGAGTGCCCGGCTGAACCAACTGAATTCCATAATACCAAGAACGTCTGAAAACATCACAGAACGCCTCCCAACTTCTATACAGTCACGAATACTTAAATATTTCGGTCACGTTATGAGGAGGTATACTGACTGTATGGAAAAACTCAATATACAGGGCAAGGTTCCAACTAAAAGACTAAGAGGACGCTCGCTCTCCCGATGGATAGACCAGCTATCAAAAATCACCCACAAGCCACTGCACCGGCTTGTACATGAAGCACAAGACAGGGAATTATGGAGACAAACCTCACACATCACCCGACCACTACATTCCTTTTGTAGGAATAAAAATAGAGAGAGAGAGAGATGTAATATATATGTCAATATCTAAAAGTTATACTTCCGTGTTTGCTATATTTTTTTTATTTGCAGCAAGAATTGATTTTTTATTACTAAATATGAATGTTACTTTGTTTTGTCTATTTTAATAAACTTTTTTTCTCATTTTCTTTTTGATATGTTTTGTAAATCAAGAAAAATCTTCGATTTTTCTCGGTCGTAAGTACTGAGAAATCTCTTCGAGTGTCTTTGGTTGTTGGTGGATTCCCATTACAGGTTACTGACAAAGTCTT